TGGCCGCCTCCACCGGTCTTCTGGCCCACTGTGCCACGCCGGGGACGCCGCGCCGGCCGACGCGACATAGACACAGGCGCGTCCCGCCTGACATGACTGGACATGACGCCCCTTAGCGGCAGCCATAGGCAGCGCGTTCGCAGTTCGCAGGACATAGACAAGCCAGTTCCAAACAATCGGCCCGCGAGAGACGAGACAGCTTGCTATGCGTCTCCATAGATGCCCCCCACCTCTCTTCCCCTCTACGACGTCGTCGTTCCGACCGAGGCCTCTCTAGGGCCCCTCTAAAGCGTCTGCAGGACGACCCATTGTCGCTTAAACGTCGCGTCCCTCGGCCAGGACCAACATCTCTATGGCCCCCCTGGTTTGCGACTTTTTGCAGCATCCGTTCAGGACCTCTCTTCGCGCCAGCCGCCTCATTCCGACGAATCCTTTCGTCGCTGTCTCTGTCGCACTCGCGGGGCGTAACGCGCAAGGACGTGGGAGGGACGGAGACGAGACGACTCTTCGGAACGGCTTGACCTGTCTAGCGCCCGTCGGCCGCCGTCGGCCCGGGGGACCCCTTGGGCGCAGGGCGCACAGGGCAACCGCTCCTCTCCCTCAGTCCGAATGTTGTTTTATTGCCGAGGCGGTCATGAGCACCGTACCGCCTTTCCTTTTACATACGGCTATACGTCTTCATTACAACAACAACTACCACCACAGCAGCGGCAACAACAACAACAACAGCGACGACGACCTGACAGGGATGCCGCGGCACGGCCGTGACTAATCACGCGCACGGAGAAATGGCGAAATGGAGAAATGGTCCTGTGCAAACTGGTCCCCTCGCCGTGAACCCCACCCGCGCGCGACCGAAACGCCAACAAAACGCCCCGACGCCGACCCGAACGCGCCCGAACGCCGACCCGAAACGCCGACCCGAAACGCCGACCCGAAACGCCGCCCGAACGCCGAACCGAAACGCCGACCCGAAACGCCGACCCGAAACGCCGACCCGAAACGCCGACCCGAAACGCCGACCCGAAACGCCGACCCGAAACGCCGACCCGAGACGCCGACCCGAAACGCCGACCCGAAACGCCGACCCGAAACGCCGACCCGAAACAGAGAAATGGCCAGTGCCTTGCATTTGCAACACTCGGTGGAGAAAGCAAAGAGCCCGATCGCCGTGAAGCCCGACCCGTAGCACCGACCCGAGACGCCGACCCGTCGCCGACCCCAAATTATGGGCTAATTTTATGAACCGCGCGGCGCACGCGACCAGGCGCGACGGAGGGGCGGCTAGGCGGCGGCCTCCATGATGAGGGCAATGAAGGTGACAACAAAAGGTGACTGCGTCGTCCAGGCCGTCGCCGAGGAGGAGAAGAATGGCTCGGGGACGATAGGGTGTCGTCGGCCAGGTCCAGGTGGCGCGGCCCGGCGGCACGGTGGGCCAGAAGACCGGTGGAGGCGGCCAAAACTCTAGACGCGTTTTGAGCTCCAGAGTCGCTAAATGGGACTCGAGTAGAACTTGTGACCCCACCAACGGATTGCTCTCCGAACGAGGAATCCATTGATGGGTTCACACGTTCGGTTCGAGTCCCATTCAGCGACTCTGGAGCTCAAAACGCGTCCAGAGTTTTGGCCGCCTCCACCGGTCTTCTGGCCCACGTGGGCGGCCGAGTGCGAGCGAGACGGCGCGAGCGACGCGGCCAGGTCGGCGTCGTCGGGGCGTCACGGCTCGGTGGCCGCGGCTAGCCGGGGCGAGTGTAGAGTATCAACAGGGAGGATCATCCGCGCGCGCCGCGCCCCGGCCGCGCTCCGGTGCACAAACTGCACCCTCGCCGGCCTCAGCCTGCCTTGGCATGCCTCGGCCGGACTTCTTCCAACCTGCGGCACGGGCCGGCCTTTGTCGCGGCATCGTTTGCAGCAACAACAACAACAACATCCAGCAACAAACACGAAGAACACAAACAACAACACAACCCAACAGCCACGACGACGGAGCCCAACCCGCGACCAAACCAGGACGCCCAGCGGCGCCCGAACGCCGCGTCAGACGCCACTCCACTATAAAACTCGATAAAACTTGTAAAAAACGTGGAGTGCTGCCGGGCGCGGCCGGGCCGCTGGGGTATCAACGAGAAGCCCGGCGTTTTTTAGGGGATGTTGGAGGGATGAAGGTGAGCAGGGAAACACGTGCGGGCACCGCGCCATATGTTGTGCGTGGCCCGAAAAAAGGGGGGGGAAGGAACGGGAAGGTAAAGGGTTTGTTCCGACTGGAGGAGCGTCGGCAGCCCGGTCGGCTAGGCCATCTTCGAGGACTGCGAGGGTGAGCGAGAATCCGATTAGAGCCTTGTTTCCTTCCTTCCCTCTTGTTGATTCTGGCGCTGCTGCCGCCAGCACCCTCTAGCTTTCACTTAGAGCCGCACCGTCATCATCGACTGATTGTCTCCGCCGAGCGATTCCCAAGGATCGCTCTGTCTCTCTCGCACTCCTGCGGGGGCGGCTCGAGAGTGCGACAGAGACAGCGACAACGCGCTGCTGCCGCTCCCAATCAGGGCGCCGGGGAAGCCAACGAGGCCGTGGTGCTCTGGGGCGCGTCCCGCGTGCAAGTCTCCAGTGCAGGCTGGGGTGGCACAGTGGGCCAGAAGCCGGCGGAGGCGGACAAAACTCTAGACGCGTTTTGAGCTCCAGAGTCGCTAAATGGGACTAGAACCGAACGTGTGACCCCACCAATGGATTCCTCGTTCGGAGAGCAATCCATTGGTGGGGTCACACGTTCGGTTCGAGTCCCATTTAGCGACTCTGGAGCTCAAAACGCCTCGGTCTTCTGGCCCACTGTGAATGGGGTGGGGCAGCGCGCCAGTAGTACTCTTCCCCGGGGTGCGGAGCGCGGTCAGCCCAGCCGTGCTCTGCAGTTTGACTCCGAACAGCTCTGTCTCTCTCGCACCCCCGCGCGACGCCGCGACGCCCCGCGAGTGCGAGAGAGACGGAGTGTTGCGTAATGACCGTCATTACTGCGGCGGGTGGTTCATCTTCATCGGGGTGCAGTGTAGTGGTACTAGTGCACCGGCAAGCCGGGACGACCGGGACTCGATGCGCCGCGCCGATAAAGAGGCAGCGGCGGCAGCACGCCTGCGATTGGCCGGCGGCACGCGCCGCCACCCCGCCCCGCCCCGCCCCACCCCGCCCTGCCCCGCCCGCCCCGCCCCCGCCGCGCCGCCCCCGCCGCCACCGGCCGCGCTCAGCCCGGGGATCATCTGGCCGGTACTTCCGGTGTGGTGGCGGCCGAAGTGGCGCGCCGCATTCCGCCAGCCACGCTCGACACGAGAGCACCGCGCGACCCACACGCGCCATCGCGGTCCTCGACACGTCCCCGACGACGCGTCCCCGACGACGCGTCCCCGTCGACGCCGGCCGCGCGGCAGTGGACTGGACAGTGACGCGGCGAGAGTGATCCGCGACAGTGAAAGTGACCAGCAGCAGGGGGTGGATGGCGCAGTGCGCGCCGTGCGTGCGGGGCGGCAGCCCGCCGGGAGCCCCAGCATGCCCCGCGCCCAGCGCGCCCCCCGCCTAGGCCGCCTAGGCCGCCCGGCGTCCAGGAGCACCGCCACCGCCACAGGTAGGACCAGAGGACTGGTTGTTTCCGTCCGAGGGGGAAACAGCTTCCCACATTCGTTGTACAAAATTTGACCACATTCCACATTCAGGTGGCAAAAACGCCTGTAAGTAGGCAACATGTGTGGCAAAACGCCAGAAATCTTGCACATTCTTGCACATTCACACAATCACTATGTACACAAAATTTTACAGTGGGTCACCCCTCGTTTCCGTATCTCCGTTCTCTCTCGCCAGCAGAGGATGCCGCCGTGCCTGGTCTCTAGGATGCGTCTAGGCAGGCGAAAACGACCCCCAGGGAGTGACAAACGTCAAAACGCGGGCGGCGCGCTTCGAGAAATTATATTCAAGGTTCGCTTTCGGTGGCGTACCGCTGTGGTCGCATCTGAGGTCATCGAGGAAAGTCAAGTGTGAACTTGGCCGCAGTGGATCGGGTGTCCCCCAGTAAGTGTCCACACCGCAGCCCCCCCCCTTTTTTAAACTTCCAGGCGGACATTGCAGCGCACGGGGCTTCGCCAGGCTTCGCGCGCGCCGCCGGTTCGCCGCCCGGCACATCCTCATCCGGAAAGGGTATCGGGTTCCCGGTCGTGAAGTCCCTCAGGCCGGCGGCCCGTGCCCCGAGGCCGTGGCCGCCCGCAGGCCGCAGGAGTTCATCCGCCCCGAAACACAATGATGAGAAATCGGCGTGGCGTTTTGCCATTCGGCGGCGTCAACACGCCGGCATAAGTGAGGTTTCCGTACACGGCCGCCCCGCCCCGCCCCGCCCCCCCGCGCCCGCCCCGCCCGCCCCGCCCCGCCCCGCCAGCTGCCGGCGGGGCCTGGCCGGCGCACGCGTCAAAGAAAAGGCGGGGTACTGACCACAGTCAGTGGTGTTACACCTGTCCGCCGGGAGGAGGGCGCCCCCCCCCCCCCCCCTTGCCCCTCCCCTACGACGCACTCCCTTCTCGTTTTTTATCGCCAGCATCAGATACTCCTACTACTCGTCCTTGCTGGAGAGGGCCTTCGCCGCCACCTGGAGGAGGGGGCGAAAGCAACTAGCACGGGTAGCAAGTAGAGCAAGTAGTGGTCACGGAGAGAGAGAGAGAGAGAGAGAGAGAGAGAGAGAGAGAGAGAGAGAGAGAGAGAGAGAGAGAGAGAGAGAGAGAGAGAGAGAGAGAGAGAGAGAGAGAGAGAGAGAGAGAGAGAGAGAGAGAACGGCCGGTGAAAAGTCGCCTCTTTATTCCAAGATGACTGTTATTGTCGCAAGGCGCGGTAAAGGACGCCGCGCCGCCGACGCTTCAGACCTCTTTAGCTCGCTTTAGCTCGCTTTAGCCGGAGAAAAGAAGTCCGAGTTAATTCTTGATTTCGCTCCGCAGGCAGCCCGCGTCGCCGCCAACGCTGCTAGGAGTCACGGAGTCTTCGCCGAGGATGGCGACGCACAAGCTCTGCGTCAACAACAACATCAGCAACCACCACAACAACAACAACAATGGGGAGACGCTCATCCTGGACATCGGCCACCACACTGTGCGTCCAAGAAATTTTGTTGCAGTCACGTGTGTTGTTTAGATCTGAATTCAATAATTTTTATTTATTTTCAGACCATGTCGGACGACGGTTGGCAGTACTCGGGGTACTGGGAGTCACCGACGCCGATCACACAGGACCACAACGGGGTAGGTCTTCTTTCAGGGTTTTTTATTTTTCGGTTTTAGAAATAATTTTTATGATGATAAACAAGATGATTTTCCGTTTTCTATTCTGAATTTTTCAGGTGGACGAGATGCTCCACTACGCCGCGTTCGACCAGGTGGCGTCCCCGGGGTCCGACTCCCGCAGCACCGTGCGCTGGACCGGTAAGTGCAATGCCCTGGTCATCCCGGTTCACGGCGCCCTTCCGTCGCACAGTGGGCCAGAAGACCGGTGGGGGCGGCCAAAACTCTAGACGCGTTTTGCGCTCCAGCGTCGGAAAATGGGACTCGAGCCGAACGTGTGACCCCACCAATGGATTGCTCTCCGAACGAGGAATCCATTGGTGGGATCACACGTTCGGTTCTAGTCCCATTTAGAGACTCTGGAGCTCAAAACGCGTCTAGAGTTTCGTCCGCCTCCGCCGGTCTTCTGGCCCACTGTGCGTCGTCCTCTCTAAATGTTTGCACCTTCGCAGACTCGCCGTTCCCCTGCTCGGACGCGGTGACCAGCCCGCCGTACTCGTCGTGCCCGGTGGCCAGCCCGCAGTCCGCGCCGCCGCGACGGAGGGCGGCTCGGCGGTCCGGCGGCGGCGTCCCCGGCGGCGGCCCCCGGCGCGCGCAGTCCGCCCCCGCGCCCGACGGCACGCCGCCGCCGCCGGCCGTGGTCAAGAAGAGGCGGCTGGCGGCCAACGCGCGCGAGCGGCGCCGCATGAACGGCCTCAACACGGCCTTCGACCGGCTGCGCGGCGTCATCCCTTCGCTCGGCGCCGACCACCGCCTCTCCAAGTTCGAGACGCTGCAGATGGCGCAGTCCTACATCGCGGCGCTCTGCGACCTGCTGGGCCTGCAGCGGCCGCCGCTGGGGCCCGTCGGCGCCGGCAAGACGGGGCGCCCGCCGCCCGGCCACGCGCCCGCGCTGTCCTGCTGACTGCACTGTGAGAAAAAGTACGGAAAAAGTACGGACATGTCTCGTCAATAATGCTGGAACGTCCGTACTTGCCACTACGGAACGTTCCGTACTCGTCATTTTCGTGACACACTGTATACTCAATTTCTGATCATTGTACCATTTTTCCGATACAAAGTACGGAATTTTTTTACAGAGTGGTTGACTGGCAGTGACAGTGGCGGATCCAGGGCCGGTCCGAGGGGGAGGCAAAGGGACGCGTTTCGCGGACTTACTGGGGCAAAGTGTTTTCTTTTGCCTACCTTTCAGGCGGCTATTTAGGGGTCAGGGGGACATTGTCCCTCGCCCCCCCCCACTGAATCCACGCTTTGGTGCGCCAGTGTGCGTGTCCCAGTGTCTCAGTCTGTTCTGCGCAAACATTCGATGAGAGAGTTGAACGCGCGATGGAGAACCGTCCAACCAGATATTACTATTATTACTTGTCGTATAGCACGGTGTGTATCTGTTTTGCCAAAGATATGTTTTTTCTTTTTTTGCTCTTTCTAGTTCTAGAAGACTGTTTTTATATTTATTGATTTGTAATTTATTATGGGAATAAAAATAAAGACTACTTGAAACCCATTCGGTTTTAGTTCATGGTTCAAACTTTGCTCCGAATCGTTGAAAAGATTGTGGGTACTTTCGCGCCGCCGTGCGTGCGGCCCTCCACGGGCGGTTCCAGGTTCCAGGTTCCGTTCCAGGTGCGATCGGCTTGCGCCCTTTCAGAAGCCGCCCGCCGATCGCGAGCGAACGAGGCAGCGCTTTCGCCGCTCTGTCTCTCTCGCACTCACGGAGCGCGTTCCTCGCGGGTGCGAGAGTGAGAGAGACGGGATCAGACTACCGACGGGCCGGCGGGCCGGCAGCAGCAGGCGGCACTCAGACACTCAAAGAGGTATTATTCACATTGTTTTGCTGATATTACTCAATTCCCTGTATCGGCGTGCGTGTGGCCCGGCAGAGGGGCAGGGGCCACCTGCACTGGAGGCACCCCTGGCGGGGCTGGCGGGGCTGGCAGCCACCCCTTGGCGCGAGCGCGGCCTCGCGGTGGCGTAACGCACTGGATAATAGCCCCCTAGCGGCCCCATTCAGAGGCCGGCCAGGGCTTCCAGGCCGGCCACCACAAAGGCGGCCCGCTCGGCCTCGCGTGGGATCGAACATGGAACGCCGCGATCGCCACCGGCGGGTGCCGCCTGAGGCCGCCGCCAGGGCCATAGGGGGTGTTGCGGTCAGCCGTCTCTTTCCGAAGGGTCGTCGCTCTGTCTCTCTCGCACCCGCAGTACCGCACGCAACGCCCCGTGAGTGCGACAGAGACAGAGCGACGAGGCGATGCCTTGGTGGCAAGGCGCTTCTGTGCGCGTAGCGTAGCGCGTAGCGGGGCGGGCCGTGCAGACCACGCGACGGACGACGGCCAGCTGGTCAGGAAGTGGCCGTTTTCCGCGCGCTGCGCGACACCGTCCCGGGGCGCCGACGCACAGTGGGCCAGAAGACTGGTGGAGGCGGCCAAAACTCCAGACGCGTTTTGAGCTCCAGAGTCGCTAAATGGGGCTCGAACCGAAAGTGTGACCCCACCAATGGGTTGCTCACCGAACGAGGAATCCATTGGTGGGGTCACACACTCCGTTCGAGTCCTGTTTAGCGACTCTAAAGCTCAAAACGCGGCTCGAGTTTTGGCCGCCTCCGCCGCTCTTCTGGCCCACTGTGCGTCGGCGTGCTCGGTGGGTGGGTGGCGGTTGCGGCCCCGTCCGGGGCGTGAAACTGCACGCAGGGACGCAGCAGACCCGTTTTCGTCGCTCCACACTCACGGCGTCAGGTGCGACAGAGACAGCGACTCTCGGAATCAGTCTGCCGGGGTGTCCAAGAGGGTGTCGGCGCGCCAAACTGCCAAAACAAACACCCGCTAAACACCGTCACGGCGCTAAGTGATACCCATTTCGCCAACTTGCCGACGACGCCGGCGGTGGCGTGGCGGCAGGGAGGGATGCGAGGCCATCTTGTAGTACCCCCGGTTACACGGTGATTATGTGGGTCAAGAAGGCCGTCGTCTAGGCCGTCGTGTAGGCCGGGCCGCAGCACGGGCCCAAGCGCAGCGGCGGAGGGGCCACGCCCACCACCTCGTTGCCTCTGCTAAATACCCGGCCGGTGCAACAAATGGCCGCCATTAGGGACTTGTTGAGGGCGCTGCCGTGGACCGGGCGCCACCTCGCCTCGCCCCGCCGCCTCGCCCCGCCGCCTCGCCCCGCCGCCTCGCCCTCGGCCTACACGGGGGCCTTATCAAAACGATATTAACACCTCGCCGTTGGTAACGATCTTCCGGTCATGGGGAGAGGGTTGTCCTTGCGGCCCTCCTATTTGCAGTCGTCTGCTGCCACCTCGTGTGGCTGCGGAGTCTGCGACTGAAGGAAGGACCACCCGAGAGACACACTGGGGAATAAATTGGGGTAATTGTTTGGAAATAGCAGTGCCGGGACACGTCGGACGTCGGCAACAAGGCCGAGACAGGGTGGGATAGATAATGAAGCCTCGTCCAAGCGCAAATAAAGTTGAGGAAAATTAGGCAGGCGTTACTTCGGCGGGATTCGAACCGCCGGCCGGACTTACGGCGCTCCCACATGAGAACCAGCGGAAGGTGCGCCGTGGGCGAGTGGTCATCGCCACTTGGTCTGCAATCAGAAATTCCGGGTTCAAATACTGCCCCCAGGTGTGTCTTTTTTCTACTTTAGGGAGTGGGACTGTCATGTGCGTGCGTCATGATGAACCAGACACTGTGCTCGGTGTCACGCGCGAGACTCCAACCCCTTTTTCCTCGCTCCATTCATTCATGCCTCTCCAAGTCTGTCTGTCCGTCCGTCCGTCCGTCCGTCCGCCCGTCCGTTTGTTCTAAGGGCGTAATGCTCGTCAAGGCCATCTGGCCCAAGCACCCCGAGCCACCCCTGCTCAGGTAGGGCTAACGACATCCTGAAGCAGCAGCAGCGCTTCCTCGCCTCGCAATCTGTGTCGAAAGGCGCATCCCTCCGAACGGCGCTCTGTCTCTCTCGCACTCACGGGCCGTCCCGCCTCGGTGCGAGAGAGACAGCGACCGTCAGCCGGAATGAGAAATTCGTGCCTACGTCACCGGCCGGGTCTCCTTACCACGACAACAGGTCAATCCATAAGGCGAGGATGACGCGAAGCAGGCGAAGCTGATGATGATTTCGTCCGATCCGCTCCGAGACCTCGTCCGAGACGCCTTCCGATTGGTCGCGGCTAAAACACTCGGCAGGTTTGTTTGCTCGGGTGGGTTGTTTGTTTGCAACAGGTAGTGTGACTTATTTCGTGTGGGAAAAAAAACCAGTGATCGATTTTGAGGCTTCGCTCTTTTTGAGGTGGGTGATTCTAAGAGGGTGCCGGGGGAAAAGACGAGGACGAAGGCAAAGACAAGCTGGAGGACAAAGACTCACACTGGGGCTGTTTGCACAACAGGTTCTCGCACTTGTTGGTGTCCAGTAGCAGCCGAGTCCTCCGCCGCTGCAGTGCTGCACCCCACTTGACGCTCCACTGCAAGGCACTGCAAGGCGCCAGCGAGCGCTACTCATCTTCGCACCTGAGTGTGTGCGCGTGTGTGTGTGTGTGTGTGTTTGTGTGTGTGTGTGTGTGTGTGTGTGTGTCTGTGAGCGTGTGCTGTGTGCGCAGCGCCCTGTCATTGGTGCGCGGGCCGACAAGGCCTCCAAGGGGCTCCCGTTTGGTCACACCCACGCCGCTTCCGGAAGTAGGCAAGCCAGGCAACATCGGGTCCTCTGAATAACGGACTAGAGGGCCAGGACGACCACGAGGAGGAACAGGCAAGAAGTCGAGTTGACCGGCATCGGGAAGGGTGCGGCTCTAATGCGCTCACGATTTGTCTATTCGAACGTCGGCGAGGTCGTTATATCCCCGTTTCCGGCCAAATATCGATGCGCAAAAAAAACAACAACATAACCAACAAAACGGCGGTGGAAATCGGACGAAAAACAACTCCGCGCCGCCCACGCATTAGGCTGAGAGAGAAGCGCGCTAGAGCAGCAAGGAGGAGGGAGAGAGAGGGGGAAAAAAATAAAACAATAACCGAAGAAATGGGAGCCGTGCTCCTTCGCGATGGTTATTGATTGGGGGAATTTATCAGAGTCTCGTCAAGAATCAATAGCTGCTGCCGAGTCCCGCCTCAGGTGTTGCCGTGGGGGTAATTTTGACACCCCAGCGCCGGAGCAGCCCCGGTCCTTGCGATTAGTCCTGCCTGGGCGGGGCGGGGCGGGGCGCTGGTGGGAACACTGCAACACCGGCCGACGGACTTCCATGCAGCAGGGTTGCTGAAACAACAACAACAGCAAGGCGGCCGAATAAAGGCAAAAGGATTGTTGTTGTTGCTGTTTAAAAGGTTTCGGTTATTGATAGGGGGCCTTTTCGGCTACCTGGAGGTTTAGGCCCTGCGCTGCGCCCTGCGCCCGGCACGGCGTGCCTTGCGGCGTGCCTCACACACACACACACACACACACACACACACACACACACACACACGCCACACACACACACACGCACACACCTTCGCACACACACTGGCACACACACACACTCTCGCACACGTCACGCGAGGGACACGCCCCGTATTCATCAGCGCGGAGAGCAGCAACAGAATTAGCCGGCCACCGCCTTGAAATTACCGAGTTCACGCCGCCACGCCACTGTGAGGACCAGGACGGACTCGGGCCGAGCAAAGCGAAGGCGGTGGCGAGGCGGCGCGGCGGGGCGGCGAGCATCCAAAAGTCCGAGAAGCGATTCGGCTTTTCGGCCGTTCGGCGTTCGGCAGGTGGAGCGGTTCGAACAAACCAAGGCGCTTCAGAGTGCGGCCGAGAAGACGAAGAAGAAGAAGTGTGCTCTGTTTTCGAGTTCGGCATCAGCGTGTGTTCGCTTCTTATCGTTCGGTAGGAACGGTAGGGACTGCAGACTACAAATTTTAACCTCACCACAGTGCTTACTGCGCAAAAAAAATTGTGCCGCCGTCGGTGGGTGTCGAACCCGGGTGACTGTGTGTGCGGGAGTCTCGCGCGCACGGGATGTAAACATATGGGTGAGTGTGTGGGTCAAACGCCGCGCGCGGGGTGTTGACAAACTGCCCCTCCAACAGGTGTCTGCTCGGGGCGGCGCGTGCGACCCGAGCGGCCTAGTTTGATTCCGATCTGTCTCTGCGGGTGCGAGAGAGACAGAGCGATCCTCTGGACGCAGCAGCGCTTCCCGGAAAGAGCGTGCCACGCATTGACTCTTTGGCGCCCGGCGAACGAACGATGTCTAACGATCTACCGGGAACTTCGTCGCTCCGCCTCTCTCGCACTCATCACGCCATGAGTGCGACGGAGACAGCGACTCTGCGTAATCAGCGAGTTGAACCGTGTAATCTTGGGCGGGCCTACCGTGTGGGCGACGCTTTTGTTCTGCTGCTGCAAGTGTGTTGGAACTGCAGCACGCACAGTGGGCCAGGAGACGGGTGGAGGCGGCCAAAACTCTAGACGTGTGTTTTGAGCTCCAGAGTCGCTAAATGGGACTCGAACCGAACGTGTGACCCGACCAATGGATTCCTCGTTCGAAAAGCAATCCATTGGTGGGGTCACACGTTCGGTTCGAGTCCCATTCAGCGACTCTGGAGCTCAAAACGCGTCTGGAGTTTGGGCCGCCTCCACCGGTCTTCTGGCCCACTGCGGCACGCCGCAGCACGGCGGCAGGCCGGCGGTTGGCGCCAAAACACGCTCCCCGCTTGAAAGAGCTTTCCGTCGGCGACCCGCGCGAGGCTACACTGGAGGTAATGAAGTGCCTCCTCTCGCCGGACGGCCGGCCGGACGGACGTCGACGTCACTGGCCGCCACTTGCAGTGCCGAATTGACGCGGGACGGCTCAATTCGAGTTCGGCGAGGCAAGGAGAGGCAAGGCCGGCGAAAGGGCTCGAATTACCCCCTTTGGGTTGCCATGGCAACGAGGGTACGGTGCACCCAGCCAGGCGTGGGCGCGGTGCCGCGCGGTGCAGTGATGGCTGCGTGATCGGCCGACAGGGCACCGCCGGGTACGTACGCAACATTTCTATCAGGTGGCTCCGGTGTCAAACAGTTTCCGACCGAGCGGCGGCCACTCCCCCTCTACTTCCTCCGCTTCCCGTTGACTCGCGATGCTCGCGCTCAATCGCCGGGGCAGAGCTCGTGACATTCGATCATTGGAGTCGGGTCCGAGGGGTGACCCACTGTAAAATTTTGTCTACAATGATTGTGTGAATGAGCAAGAATGTGCAAGATTTCTGGCGTTTTTGCCACACATGTTGCCTACTTACAGGCGTTTTGCAATGGAACGAAGTGCTTGCTGTCAATCAAAATGTGTGAGTGCTGGGAATCGATCGCCCGATCCGGACGCGGAACGCGGATGCCTTAGCGCTCTCCACCACCGAGATCTGCGAGGAGAGCTGGATGAGGCATGGGGATTGATCCCGATTGATCCGCAGTGGAATAGCCAGTCAAAAGACGAATAGATGTCTTGGGAATCGATCTCCCGACCCGAGGGTAGAGGACGGACATCCGGATGCCTCACCCAGCCACTGTTTTTTCACACTTGTTTCACTTTTTATTCACACCCTCTGCCACCTTGGAGGACGGATTTTCGCAACAAAATTGTAAGCGTGTGGGTGCGTGGGCGGCGGGCGGCGCCGCCTAACCACTGGGCAGTGCTCGCTGCTGGCGGCGCGCTGGCGCTCCCCGACCCCGCCCACCCTCGCCGTCGTGGGGTCGTCAGGTCGTCGGGCCGTCGGGGGACGCGAGGGCGGCGGCCGGGCAGCCGACCGGGCGAAAACAGACGAAAACCGATAATTGCAGCTAATCCACTCAACACAACTAACAGCAGGGCCGCCTCGCCTCGCCCCGCCTCGCGCCACACGGTCCGAGCACCGAGCAGAGCGAGTGACTGAAAACGGCCACTTCCTCACATTTCAATCCGCCCGACAGGCAGAGAGACAGGGCTGCTATGGCTTGATTGGTGGGGAGCATCTGCTGCCACCTACTACACGCTAAAGCAGTCGTCAAAGCCACGCGATCGGCTTGGACCGCACTGTATTTTTCTAGTGCAGTTCAAACCGGTGCTCCGCTGCGAGTGATCCGTGGTGGCCGAGAGCAAAGAGGCATCGGCTCCGGACACTCGGGTCGGGCGATCGAATCCTTACACATCTTTTCGGCCGCGCTGGATGCGGTCACCTTCAAAACGACCGCCACAGCTGCGCGGCTGGGGCTGGACGCGCGACTCCAAGCCCGGGTATGTAAACGTAAACACAACCCTGTATCATAGCCTCAGAGGGTGCCCCGGCGGGCTGGTTCCGCACAGCGCTTCGTCGCTCTGTCTCTCTCGCACCCCTTGGTGACGCCCCTTGAGTGTGAGAGAGACAGAGCGACGGAGCCCGTTCGGCGTCAGCCCGCGCGCTGCGTAGCACTGCGTGGGGAGGCACTGTGGGCCAGAAGACCGGTGGAGGCGGCCAAAACTCTAGACGAGTTTTCAGCCCCAGGGTCGCTAAACAGGACTCGAACCGAACGTGTGACCCCACCAATGGATTCCTCGTTCGAAGACCAATCCATTGGTGGGGTTACACGTTCGGTTCGAGTCCCATTTAGCGACTCTGGAGCTCAAAACGCGTCTCGAGTTTTGGCCGCCTCCACCGGTCTTCTGGCCCACTGTGGGTGGAACGAGGAAGCGAGTAGGCTACTTTGGCCCCGCATTACGCGCACGCTCCAGTGACTCCAGCCGCTGTCTCTCTCGCACCCCTTCGGGACGCCCCGTGAGTGCGACAGAGACAGAGCGACGACTCCGGCGCGTGGCCTCGGAGCACCCCGCCCTGCTCGAGCGGCCACCAGGCCACCCCAGTTGGGACGGGCGGTTAGTTGACTCTCGTGGACGGCGCGCGCCTCTTCACGGCCCAGCGGTCACACACTCACACACGCCACCCCCCCTCTCTCTTTTTGGCCATCGTTATCCTCATCATCATGCACCTCATCCCGCTGCACACACGCGACCACACGCGACCGCCTCAAATTGGCGAGCACAAAGGACGCGCTGCGGACGACGCCGACGACGCCCCTGGCCGATGGAGGAACAAAACGCCGTCGGTCGAATTAAAACGGGACGCCGTCGGTCGGCGCGCCCCGGAGGCCGCCAGGACGCCGACGACGCCGACGGCTAGGCCCCGGAGGTGCGGCGTGTCGGTGGAACAAAACAGTGACACGGCAGCTGCAGGGCACTGCAGGGTCTGCAGGACAGGCCTTGTCCACCACCCTGTAAGTGAAAGTGCGGCCCGGCCGTCCCTCGGCGACGAGCTCGGCGACCAAGTGCGCTGCGGGCGACGGCCACGACGCCGACCCCCGCTGCTGCCTCGTCCAGCAGCCCCGAGATGGTTCCAAATTAACGTAAAGCCCAGCCGTTGCCGCCAAAACGCCCCCCCCCCTTTTCCCACGGAAATCTCTCCCCTTGTACCCCTTCCCCACCCGTCCACTACACCCTGAAATCCGCGGGGCCCAATGAATGAACGGCGTGCTGGTGGGGGCCTCCCCCTCCCCCTCTCCGCCGGCGCCCCAGGAGGGCTGCACAGGTGAGCGAGGCGCGAGCGGGCGCGAGGCCCCAGCCGCTGCAGCAGGCCCAAGTCAGTGCACTCCTCCTCCGTGCCGGCTCCAGACCTCTCCAGCGCCGGCAGCCCGCCCTCCGCCCTCCTGCCCGCCCTCGTGGACTCCGAGTGCGAGATCGTGCCCAGCCATGACGGAGACCCTGCTTCGCTTCGGCGGCGCCACCGGCTTCGAGCCCTTCGGCCTGTACGGCCAGCACAACGCCTACTACCCGCAGCTGGAGCCCTCGCACGGGTACGACCCGGCCTACGACCCGGCCTACGACCCGGCCTACGACCACGGCTACGACCACGGCGCCGACCATGGCTACGAGCGCACCCTGGAGTACGAGCAGCCCGCCAGCCCGCCGAGCCCGGCGGCCAGCTCCTGGGGCAGCGCCAGTGTTAGCCTGCAGTCGTCGGAGCCCAGCCCCAGCGAGGACGCCGTCGACGGCGTCGCCGCCACCGCGGTGTCCGAGACCCTGACGCCGGCGGCGCGGCCCGTGGAGGTGGTGAAGCGGCGCCGGCTGGCCGCCAACGCGCGCGAGAGGCGCCGCATGAACAACCTGAACGACGCCTTCGACCGCCTGCGCGACGTCGTGCCTTCCCTGGGCTCGGACCGCAAGCTGTCCAAGTTCGAGACGCTGCAGATGGCGCAGACGTACATCGCGGCGCTCAGGGACCTGCTGGGCCGCGAAGACTAGGCGCCGTACCGCCAATAGAGGGCATTGTGGTCCAGTTTTACGTTTCCGAACCGCTTTTGCTCCTTGGTGACAGTGACTGTGAGAACGTTGCCTTGTGCGCGCGCGCGTGTGCTTCCAAGTGTGTCTAGTATTGTTGCGGTGTCAAGACTGCTGTTTTTCTGTGATACTTTATTATTTATTTCGGTGTTGCTGAGTGCAGTTCTGTTGTTATTGTTGTTCGGCCGAGGGCATTCCCTGCTCGTGAAGCGCTTTTCGACTGTGTTTTTTGGTGTCTCGTTCGTACATATATCCGCGTGATGTGTGGGGACCGTGTTAATTTATTGAGATAATGATAGTTATAATAAAATGACGATGAACAATAATTCTGGTCTATTTTTCTGTAGGCCCACTAAGCTAAGCACCCTCATTTTTTCAAACAAATCGGAGACCATTGTCGGAAAAGGAAGCTAAGGCTATGGGTTTTTCACGTTTTTGGCCTAAAATTGAAAATAACTAAAATTGCACTATGTTGTGCTGTGACTCCTGACACTATTTAGAGGGCCATTTCGGGTCTAAACTCTATTTTTCTAGCGAAAAACTGGAATTTTCTGAGCATACGCCGCATGGGTAGGCAACCCCTTGTACACACCGTCTTCGCCGCATCTGCGCTCAACTGGCGTCACAGGAAAAATCATTTTCTCACCAAATAGAATGCGTCAAAGACCATTGGGCACCGGACATCTTTTTCTTAGACCCATAGCAACATTCTATGTGAATTTCAGCCAAATCGGAGGAGGTCGACCGTTTTCGTCGAAAAAAAGCTAAGGCTATACATCATGGTTTTTTGCCGTTTTTGGCCAAAAATTTAAAATGGCTCAAATTGCAGTATGTTGTGCCGGAGCACTCTCATTTGACTCCTGACTCCATGCAGAGGGCCAGTTTGGGCCCAAACAGTTTTTTTCTGGCGAAAAACTGGAATTATCTGAGCATACGCCGCATGGGTAGGCAACCCCTCGTACACACCCTCTTCACCGCAAGGGCACTCAACTGGCGTCACAGGAAAAATCATTTTCTTACCAAATAGAACGCGTCAAAGACCATTGGGCACCGGACATCTTTTTCTTAGACCCATAGCAACGTTCTATGTGAATTTCAGCCAAATCGGAGGTGGTCGACCGTTTTCGTCGAAAAAAAAGCTAAGGCTATATACATCATGGTTTTTTGCCGTTTTTGGCCAAAAATTTAAAATGGCTCAAATTGCAGTATGTTGTGCTGTAGCACTCCCTCGTGACTCCTGATGCTAAATTGAGGATCATTTCGGCCCTAAACAGTCTATTTCTGGCGAAAAACTGGAATTTTCTGAGCATACGCCACATAGGTAGGCAACCCCTTGTCCACACCCTGTTCACCGCATCTGCGCTCAACTGGCGTCACAGGAAAAATCATTTTCTCAACAAATAGAATGCGTCAAAGACCATTGGGCACCGGACATCTTTTTCTTAGACCCATAGCAACGTTCTATGTGAATTTCAGCCAAATCGGAGGTGGTCGACCGTTTTCGTCGAAAAAAAGCTAAGGCTATACATCATGGTTTTTTGCCGTTTTTGGCCAAAAATTTAAAATTGCTCAAATTGCAGTATGTTGTGCTGTAGTACTCCCTCGTGACTCCTGATGCTAATTTGAGGATCATTTCGGCCCTAAACAGTCTTTTTCTGACGAAAAATTGGAATTTTCTAAGCGTGCGCCGGGAAGGTAGGCCACCTCTCGGCCTTAGCCTCAACACTCTCAACTCTAGTTTGAAGTTCTTTTCGGCCCATAACAGCCGGGGAGGCAGGCAAGCCATTCGACGCATCCCTTCGTTTCCTCTAGTGTGAAGGGAGCTCAGGAATCCAGCAATAAAATAAAACTTAGAATTATTTACTTTTGTACTTTTATTTAAGAAGTGTCACAGCATATACATGTTGAGTACAATGTTAGAGTTTTATAATCACAGGGCTGGATACAGGTCTGGTCCTTACGCTAAATGATTATGATAATAATGGAATGGCTTGAAATCTGAGAGATCCTTCTAAATGGTGGCACTGACACCTCTTTCTGCCCCTCACAACTTGTCAAAACCTTTTAAAGGTGGAAGAAAGTTGCTAAAACACAACCTCCATATGCATGTCCTATTAAAGCCTTATGTTCAGTCTCAGTACTTTAACATCTTGGTATAGTTTACATAAAGGGTACTCTCGTCTTATCCACGATTCAGACTGAAACAACCTCCTGTCTTGCTTTTGATTTAAATATGTTACGGGCATGGCCACACATTCAAGCGTTACTGAGCTTTTGTGCTTGTTTGCACCAATGCGGCTTTTACAAGAATTCAATTTCATGAAAGCAACATAAACTAAATACAAGAGACTTGAAACATCTGAAGAGTATTAAAATAATATTCTGGCACAGTTTGACTTCGTCGATCATCATAAAAGTGATCTTCACTGCTAATGTTAATTAGTAAAAATACTTGCAATCAATATGTGCATACAACAATTACAATAATTTCTCTGTTTCATTTGCATTCTTGATGCATGGACACGGAACAGAGAATTCAACTTGTAAACTCTCAAGGCACCTTGTCTAAATACTGGGAGAATAGTTAGCAATTTACAATAACTCAGCAGTTGGAAAACAAACAATGAAAAAAAGCAACAAATTCATTTAACAAAACAGATCCACTTCAGCAAGTAAAATTCATCATTACATAAAGCGAATTGAAGGCAGTGGACTTGTGATGATACTTCACTCACTAAAGTGGTAGTGTCTAACAAGATCTACACAGAAAAGGCCTGAAAAGGTAGATGTATGATCTCATCTCAACTTAAATTTAAATCTAGAATAACACTCGCATCACAGTCACAATATAAATTAATGATGGTATGGTTCGCTATTTTTAAAATTTACTCTAAAAAGAGTACAAAATAAAATTTCTTGTAAAATAGCATATTCTTACAGGTACAGTTCAGCATGGAAAATGTATAACGTCCTAGCTGCTTCTGGTGGGATTAGTCTGAAACTTTAGCTCAACCCAAAAATGGCCACATCAGCTCTGCAGAGGCACTTTTACAGTAATGTATCTATCTACCTTTCAGTATTTCTTAGTGCCATCTAAGAAAGATATTTTAATGCACAATGCAGACTGTAGTGGAAATTTCTGAGCATCCATGCTCAAATTAAAATATTTTGAGATTTCTTTCTTAAAACTTTTTGTGTCTTTTAGGCAGAATTTTTACGCAAGGGATAGCTTTCTGGTTCTTTCTCTGCCGGAGTTCTTGGAGAGTTCCACTTCTGTAGTTCTCCAGTGCCAAGGAACAGGTAAATAACAGCTCCTAATACGTACACGCCGGACAAAATACCGAAGATGATCTGCCACTGGCCGTAGGAATCCTGAGAACAAAATATTGAACATGAGTCAAAAGTATTTTAATTAAATTCAGAAAGTACCTATCTTGAAACATAGAATATCATGCTAATCTGGAACCAAACTTACATTTTGGTATGTCAGCGAGCCCACCATGAGAGTGGAAACAAAACCACCAGCCGATGAAAGCATGTTCGCCATTCCAAAGATGGTACCTGGACAAAAAAAAATCACAATTAGAAAACAAATTTTTTGTTCACATCAGATGCCTTGGCATAAACTGCGTCAGTGGTAACAATGTTGACCCTAGCTTTCTCCGCTGACAGATATAGCATTTCAGTTCGCAACAATGTCTTTGCTTTCGCTCTCTATTCTTCGACATGTAGGGTGTAGGGGTTGTTGGCTTGGTACACCGGCCAGAGTCAACACGGCTAGGCCGTTTGCTTTGGCGGGGCACAGGGCCCACAGGGTCGATGGAGGAATGGGCGTTGTCGTTGGGGGTGCCGCGGAGGGGGAGGGGGAGGGAGAGAGGCAGGCCAAGGCGGTAGCACTCCCGCCCCGCCTCGAGAACGAAATTTGGAAAAAATAAAGGATTTGCTCACCGGAGAAGTTGGGCGCGATGTCCAGCCCGTTGCCGAGGTAGCCGGCGGTGACGGCGCCGTTGAAGGTGAGGGCCAGGGTGAAGATGGCCACGGAGGCGATCTGGTCGTTGCCGGCGAACACCTGCACCGCCATCAGCAGCCCGGGGATGCCCACGGCTGCGGGGGAAACAAACAAAGTCAGATAGGTTAGAAACGCCCAGGAGAGGTCACCGCTCCGTCCTGGCTGTAGTGCAGAGCCCTGTCTGCGTACCGAAGGTGGTGAACGTCTTGCGGATGGCCGTCGTGCTGATCTTGTTCCGGCTCTTGAGGTAGTCGGCGATCACGCCCGTGCCCAGCGCCATCAAGTACTTGCCCAAGTACGGCAGGCTGGACGCGAGGCCGTTCTGCGGCAAAAGCGAGAGAAATAATCAACTTCAATTTCGAACTTGAGAGAGAGAGAGAGGCTAGATTGTGCGCTTGGAGGTCGCTTCGACGACGGCCAGGCTGTGGTCTAGCCGGTAATGGCAATGGTAACGCGAGAGCGGCATCCGATTCGACAGCGGCGCGCGAAGGGATGCCTACCCTCGCGGCGATTGCGATTGCGATTAATGCCGCCCCACCACGGACCCGCCCGCCAGCCGCTACTCACCTGCTTGATGTTGAAGTGCAGCACCTTCTTCATGAAGGTGGGCAGCTGGTTGACGACGGTGAAGAAGCCGTAGATGCTGGCCACGTGGGTGAGGACGATGGCCCACACCGGGCCGGAGGTGAGCAGTTGGCGCCAGGGCACGGCCAGCGTCTGCAAGCAGCCCAACCGAACCATGAACGTGGAGGAGGGACTTCCCCGGGCCGGGCCGGCAGCCTTCGCTTTGTTTTCACCGTGACACCGTGACACGCATGGCGGCGATGCACCCGAGAGTCGTTTTCGTCGCTCTGTCTCTCTCGCGCCTGTACGGAACGCCCCATGAGTGCGAGGGAGACAGAGCGACGAAAAGGACTCTCGGAATCAGTCTGCAGTGCAGGCCTTGCGAAGGGATCGGTTTCTCCAGGGACACGCTGCGCGTAGCCACGCGGCCCCGGGACGGCGCGCCAAGACCGTTCGTTGCCACACCGCGTGCTCGCGGTGCATACTAAGTGCATGCATTTGGACGGCGCATTGTCAAACAGACAGACACACAGACGGACTCACCTCCTTGTGCGACGCCTGCACGCTGTCGCCGAGGGCCTGCTCGATGAAGCGCCGCTCCTCCATGGAGATGCGCGGGTGCTGCGCCGGCGAGTCGAAGATGAGCACGAACCAGAGGGCGGACCAGAGCAGCGCCACGCCGCCCGTCACGTAGAAGGTGGACTCCCAGCCCCAGGTGGACAGCAGGAAGCCGCACACCGGCATGGTGATGGCCGCGCCCAGGGACGACGCTGCAACACCGAGGACGCAGGTTCAAACACCGGCAGGGCGACTGTTTTCTTCGCGGCGGCAGGGGAGCGGGTTCGAATACCGGCGGGCGACCAGCTTTTTTGGCGTTGTTATTGTTGATTCGTCTGTGATTGGACGCAAAGCCTCCCCTCCCTCTCCCTCCCACACACAGCGCAGCAGCGCACCGAGCGTGTGTCCGCCTTCAATCGACTGGACTCTGACCGAAGATAGCTCCTCTTCCCACGGCGATTTCCACAATAACGCAATAATGTGACTCAAGTGCGGCGGTGGGTTGAGCTGGGTTGAGCCGACGTGCCGCAAAACACACGCGGGTCGCGGGGAAAACGAGGGAGACGAACGACTAGAGCAGAAGATACGTCTGACTGCTGCGGCGGGAAGGGGGTGGCGATACTGGTAGCGGCGGGGTTTCTAGGTTTCTGGGGGCGTCAGCGCGTCAGCGGGGAGAGACAACCGACTCGTCGATACCCCTCGCATTAGGGGCACCCAGAGTACCGCAAGGCTGAAGGCTGATTCCGCGGAGAGTCGTTTCGTCGCTCTGTCTCTGTCGCACTCATGGGGCGTCCTATTGGAGTGCGAGAGAGACAGAGCGACGAAGCGGCTATCGGCTGGTCGCGGCCGAGTCCGGCTGCCCCCCAAGAGCTCGTCCAATAGAGAGTACTCTCGCAAACATGCCCACAAATCACAATCACTAGCCGACTGGGCGACTGGCCGAGCGCCTGTCACACGCCGGTGGAATATCGACTGGCGTTAATAATGAATGGGCCGGCCGGGGTAAAGACCGGGCGCCCTCTGCAGATGCAGCGTCGCGCTGTCTCTCTCGCACTCGCGGGGCGTGGCGCACAGTGGGCCAGAAGACCGGTGGAGGCGGCCAAAACCCTAGACGTGTTTGGAGCTCTAGAGTCGCTAAACAGGACTCGAACCGAACGTGTGACCCCACCAATGGATCGCTCTCCGAACGAGGAATCCATTGGTGGGGTCACACGTTCGGTTCGAGTCCCGTTTAGCGACTCTGGAGCTCAAAACGCGTCTAGGGTTTTGGCCGCCTCCACCGGTCTTCTAGCCCACTGTGTGCCGCAAGGGTGCGAGAGAGAGGAAACGAGGCATTGCTCGGAATCGCCCTACGTCGATGGAGTCTCCCGATCGGGCCGAGTGCGAGGGGGCAAAAACTCGGGATTTTCGTGTACACATGATTCGGAAAACGCAATGATTGCGCATGGTTTTAATTGATTTCATGGCTGATTTTGCCTTATTTCGCGACGCACCAGGGTGATGTTGAGCGTGATTGCGTGTGATTGTGTTCGGAAAGAAATGATTTCGGACTGATTTGGCCTGGTTTCGTGTGATTCTGCCTAATTTCGGTCGACTTTAGTGATTTTGGCTGATTTCGGATTGCTTGATTTCGCGTGATTCTCAATGATTCGCGTGTGATTTCGGGGGCCGTGTACACATGATTGCGCGAGTTTTTGCCCCCTCGGCCGAGTGACAAGAGCTGATTCAAAGTATAACACCGTTTCGGAAATTTGTTGTCTCGCTAAGTGTTTGCAGCCGCGAGCCAAGCCCGTCGTGCTGGGAGTAGAGACCTCTATAGGGCCTTTAGGACGTCTAGACGGGGTCGATCGGGCCAAAGTCCCCTTACAGTGCGCCAGACCGAAGGCCTGAAGGCCCAAAGGGTCAGGTTCGGTCAAAGTCGACCAAATAGCTAACCGGCGGCCTACCGTGCCGTCGGCGGTCTCGGCGCCAAAAGTGGGAGACCACCGCAGGCACACGTCCGAGAAAGAGAGGGCGACAGAGAGACAGAGAGGAAGAGAGAGAGAGAGAGAGAGAGAGAGAGAGAGAGAGAGAGAGAGAGAGAGAGAGAGAGAGAGAGAGAGAGAGAGAGAGAGAGAGAGAGAGAGAGAGAGAGAGAGACAGCGCGACGTGAAACGCGAGCTGATACGGAAGGTCGTCCGCGAAAAGTGGGAGCGGCGGAACCAGGCCGCGAGGCAACGCGCTCTAATGAAGACAAAAATAAACAATTGAGAAAAATACGAATTGTGTTTTGACTCTAATTTTATAAATGCCGGAGTCAATTTGTTTTCCCGCGCGAGGCGAGGGCCTGCGAGGGCTTCACCCGTGGAGCCCCGCGGCGTCGCGTCACCGTCGCGTCGTATCACGTCTCACATGTAACGCCCGCTCCCTCGCTCTTATCGCGGGAGAGAGAAAGAGAGAGAAAGAAAAAAAAATCGCGCGTCGCTCAAAATAAACAGAGCTATGGTGAAAGTACGCGCGCACGTGCACTGACTGAGCGTGCAGACAGAGAGAAAAAAAGAGGAAATGCAAAGAATTTCGGTTAAAAAGGGTTGGCGACAGGGGGAAAGGCCGCGGAGGGGTTTCGCAAGCTTTGGCGCTCCGGTGAAGGATTGCACAACATAAGGGGAAAGGTTCAGCGAAATGGAACGGTTTCCCGCCAACTGAAAAAAAACTCTAGCGCCCCAAACGGTGAAGGACTGCACCAACATATCATGGAGGAGGTTCAGTCCATGAAACGCAATATGCCGTTTCCACACTGAAAAACCAAACGTGGTGTCTAGACCACACCATCTGATGCGGTCAAAATGGCACCCATTTGACCACACCAGTGGTGTGGTCTAGACCACGTTTGGTTTTTCAGTGCACCCTTTGCTTTGACTCGGACTCGGAAAAACGATCGACGAACTGCGCAACTCGACGGCGGTGGTCTACGTGCTGCTCCACTGCAATGAATGGGTGACGCTGCACGAGGCTCTGCAGTCCGGGCCACTGCGCCGCTGCGCCGGGGTTTGGATTCGGTGGACCCTATCGGAGACGCAACGATCAACGAGAGCCCCCCCCCCCCTCCTTTCGGAAGTAGTAGTGAACGTCAGTCCAGAGAGCCCAGTGTAGCCCAGTGTGCCCAGCGGACGGCCAGTGGGTGTGGCTGCCGCTCGCTGTCCCTGTGACACCCGCGGCCAGAGGAGGCGGCCAAAACTCTAGACGCGTTTTGAGCTGCAGAGTCGCTAAATGGGACTCGAAGCGAACGTGTGACCCCACCAATGGATTCCTCGTTCGGAGAGCAATCCATTGGTGGGGTCACACGATCGATTCTAGTCCCATTTGGTGACTCTGGAGCTCAAAACGCGTCTAGAGTTTTGGCCGCCTCCACTGGTCGTCTGGCCCACTGTGACCCGGCGGCTTCCTTGAGGTCGTTTGGGGTCGCCCGTATGTGCCCAGAGCGCCTAGAGCAGCCTAGAGCGGCGCGGCGGGCGGCCGGCTCAGCGCAGTTACGGCGCTCTTGGATGCCAGTGCGGCGACCACAGGCAGCACACTGTGTGCTGACACTGGCCGACACTAGCCGACACCTGTAGCCTTAACGAGTACAATGTACACACACGGCGGCCCGGGCAGGGGCGGCCACGTGCCACGAGAAGCAGGCCAGCCGCCGCCGCCGGGTCACGACAACGCCCGCGACTTATCGTCGCGTTGGTACCGGGAACCGCCGGCGCGGCCCCATCTCTATGGCAAATTAGTCGGTCGGCACCGCGAAAGCCTTCACGACTTTGTGGACGTCGTGTGGCGGTCCACAGTGGGCCAGAAGACCGGTGGAGGCGGCCAAAACTCGAGACGCGTTTTGAGCTCCAGAGTCGCTAAACAGGACTCGAACCGAGTGTGTGACCCCGGATTCCTCGTTCGGAGAGCAACCCACGTTCGGTTCGAGGCCCATTTAGCGACTGTGGAGCTCAAAACGCGTCTAGAGTTTTGGCCGGTCTTCTGGTCCACTGTGCGGTCCTTGCGCCGCTTGCGGTGACTCACCCATCATGTTGGACATGAATTTACTGCGGTCGGCGGGGGGAATCCAGTGCGCCGCCATGGGCAGCATAGCGGGCCAGGTGACGCCCTGAAAAACAACACCAACAATTCAGGAAACGAAGAAAACAACAAGGAAAGGACAGCCACGCTCAACGGATGGCGCATTTTGAAACAGCTCTTATTTCTCCTCTACTTCTTCTTCTTCTTCTTCGAGGGCAACAACTGCGTGACGGGCGTGTTGTAAGCTAGAGCCTGATGTACAGTACACCTGGCGGTCAAGAGCAAACGAATACAAAAGGCACACATTTAAGCTAAGAGCGTCTGCCTGCCAAATTGGCGCGGATTCGTGTTGACGTCCGGGGCGAACGGACAGCCAGACGGACGGACGGGCCGGGGCTGAAGTTGAAAACAGTGCAACGCGGCTAGGCGTCACTTGAGCAGCGACTTAGCCAATTAAAGCAGTGATGTCACGGCCTGCCTTCGCATAAATTCCTTCACCCGACACTCTAATTTTTGCAAATTACGTTTTCGTTTCGTCTCGGAACGCACAGTGGGCCAGAAGGAGCGGCGCAGGCGGCCAAAACTCTAGACGCGTTTTGAGCTCCCGATCGCTAAATGGGAGTCGAATCGAACGTGTGACCCCACCAATGGGTTCCTCTTTCGGAGCGCAATCCAGTGATGGGGTCACACGTTCGGTTCGAGTCCCATTCAGCGACTCTGGAGCTCAAAACGCGTGCGGGATTTTGAGCGCCGCCACTGGCCGGGCGACGGCGGTACAGTACTCACCAGCAGGAAGCCGATGACGGCCCTCAGGGCGACCAGGGCGAGGTACGACAGGTTGGCGGCCGCGGGGGTGATGAGGGTGAGCAGCGAGGACACCAGCATGGACACGCCCAGCACCTTCCTGGCGCCCACCACCTCGGCCAGGCGGCCGCCGGGCAGCTCCGTCATCAGGTAGCCCCAGAAGAAGGAGCCCAGGATGAGGTTCTGCTTGTGGGCGTCCCACGCGAACCACGTGCGCCCGTCCTCGTCCACCACGCGCTCCATGGCCTGCAAGCAGAGGGAAGGCCCGAGTCACTGCACTGCAAGGTGGAAGCACACACACAGACACACTTTCGCTCATACACACACACACACACCACACTCACACACACACACACACACACACACACACAGACGCGCGCACGTGCACACAGACAGAGACCGTCTCCGGTGTCGTCTGCCAATCGCTGTCCGATAAGGGAAGTTTCCATGATGCAATCGATCAAAAGTAACGAGACGAACTCTGTGTGTGTGTGAGTGTGTGTGGGAGGGGCGAGGGGTTACAGGGCACGGAGACAGCGCCACACGCTTACGAAGGTCGTGCGCTCGCGTGCTTTCGGGGGTCTGTCTGTCTGTCTGTCTGTCTGTCTGTCTGTCTGTCCTGTCTGTCTGTCTGTCTGTCTGTCTGCCTGTCTGTCTGCCCGGCACGTGCTTTGCTCCAGTTCCTCTCCACTTCCGGCGACCGGCTCGTATCGCGCGTTTTGTTTCTCGTTTCACTGTTTCCCGTCGCGCTGCTAAGTCCCCATAAAAGATCGCGCGAGTGTAAGTCTCCCCCCAATCGTCGCGCCGATAAGTCGGCACACAAAGGCGTTATAAACAGTAATTAGGTTGGCTGTCGATGACCGGCTCGCCGCGGCCCGGCGGCATGGCCGGGCATAGCGGGGGCGGAACGGGTTGCAACACTCAGAGTCCTGTCTCTGTCGCACTCACGGGGCCTCCCCTGCAGGTGCGAGAGAGACAGAGCGACGGAAACGACTCTCAGTCTGCAACAACAAATGGGGCAACGAAAACAAACTGCGGTCCGGGAGTCGCAAGCAAGCTTCGCGTCGGCCGGATAGTATGTGTGATCCAACACCTCGACACACAGTGGGCCAGAAGACCGGTGAAGGCGGCCAAAACTCCAGACGCGTTTTGGGCTCCAGAGTCGCTACGTGGGACTCCAACCGAACGTGTGACCCCATCAATGGATTGCTCTTGGAACGAGGAATCCATTGGCGGGGTCACACGTTCGGATCGAGTCCTGTTTAGCAACTCTGGATCTCAAAACACGTCAGGAGTTTTTCCCGCCTCCACCGGTCTTCTGGCCCACTGTGCGACACTCGTCTATAGCTCGTTAGTGCTAACTGCCCCCTGACGAGGTCCAGGGCGGCGCGCTGGACGGGGCCGAGGTTACGCCGCTGGAGGTGTAGTTACTGGTGTAGCCGCGCGACTCGACTGCATACAGTCGCGCTAATGAGCCTTTAATTAGTTCCCCGCGACTCTTCGCCTCGTCCGAGTCCCCTATCGTCATCCCCGTCATCCCGCTGGATTAAGGCGGCGGAACCTTATCGTGCAGCCGCCTCGAGGATCGTCTGTCTCTCTCGCACCCCGCGGCCCGCCCCGTGAGTGCGACAGAGACAGAGCGACCGAACGATCCTCTTCGGATTGGAGGGGCGCGCCGAGGACGCCGACGGCCCTACCCCAACGGGCCCAACGCGGTGCGCGCTAGAGAACAACAACAGGTCCCTCTTGAGCCGATGACGGGGGAAGTCCCACCTCCACTTTTCCTTCCACGGGGGAATATATCAACTTTATTTTTCACATCGCCGAAAACATTTCGCGGAAGCTTGTTGTTTGTCAACACAGCAACTGCACCGGAACGTGGTTGGGTTGCGCGCGCTGCTGGCCGACTACATGACACTGTCACTGCTGTCCAGTCCAGCCAGCCAGGCCGGCCGGACCAACCTGGCCGCGCCCAGCAAACGGACTCCGAGAGTCGTTCTCGTCGCTCTGTCTCTCTCGCACCCAAACGGGGCGACCCGTGAGTGCGAGAGAGACAGAGCGACGAGAGCGACGCCCAGCACCTGCCCTTGTTGCTGGGAGCATAGAATAGATCGGCTGCCCTTGACCCCGATGGGCGGGGCGTGGCGTGGGATGTGCCTCGCTCTGTCTCTCTCGCACCCACGCGGGGCGCCCCACGAGTGCGAGAGAGACGATCCGATCTCCACGTGTTTTATGGCCGATGTGCAGCGCCACTGGAGAAAACCGCTTCGGGAGGCTGGACAACAACATAGTCTGTGATTATCAATTCATCGATTCACTCGGCCGACCGCGGCCAGGCAATCGGGCACTGCTGCACTGCTAGACTCGGCCACGCGTCGTTCCCCTGAAGGGGAGCCGGGCGCTCTGTCTCTCTCGCACTCATTGAGCGGAGCAACGAACCGCCGGCGGTCCAGTCAGCAGCGCGGCTCGCACGTGCCGGCGGTGCACAGTGGGCCAGAAGACCGGTGGAGGCGGCCAAAACCCTAGACGCGTTTTGAGCTCCAGAGTCGCTAAATGGGACTCGAACCGAACGTGTGACCCCACCAATGGGTTCCTCGTTCGGAGAGCAATCCATTGGTGGGGTCACACGTTCGGTTCGAGTCCCGTCTAGCGACTCAGGCGCTCAAAACGCGTCTAAAGTTTTGGCCGCCTCTACCGGTCTTCTGGCCCACTGTGGGGCGGTGCCCGCGCCTCGGACGTGCAGTTTTCAACAACTTGTCAATGGCCAGGCCGACGACGGCACCGCCATTCTCGGACTGACGGTGTCTACTCGTGTCGACACACGCCTTGCCGGGCACCGCGCCGCGTACCTCCACGGGCTGCTGTGGGATCCACGCCGGCCGGCCGGCTGCTGCCCTATCCGGGGAAGCTGGAGCGGCGTGGCGCGGAGCGCGGGAGCGGCACCGAGAAGAAGGCGATCAACTCCACAAAACACGCACACACACGCCAAAATACTCACTCGCGTTCACGCACACATACACACATTCTCACGCTCTTCCAGCGCCGCTCGGCCTTGGCCCAGAGCACGAAGAAAAACAAGAAGGAAACAAGGTGTGTGTGTGTGCGTGTGTGTGTGTGCGTGTGTTCCAAAAGGAGTGCAGCGGGGCAGGTAGTCATAATTCTGCCCCAGTCAGAGACAGAGAGAAAAGGAGGGAACGCCCAGGCTGATTCCGATTCCGTCGCTCTGTCTCGCGAAAGTGAGAGAGAAAAAAATTGAGAGAGAGAGAGAGAGAGAGAGAGAGAGAGTCCCTTACCGCCGTGCTGTTGTCTACCACCGCCGCCGCGGTGGCGTTGCTCTTGGCCACCATCTCGACGATGGCGATGGTGAGGTTGACGCGCAGCATGTAGTTGAACATGAAGCCGAAGAAGACCATGAGGTTGAGCACCTGCCGGCAGTTGAGCGTGAGGGCGTCTGCAAAGCAAAAAACCAAAACCGAAGCTTCGCGTCAGTGCTGCGTATCGAAATGCATTCACATCGAGATTTCGAAGGTGGAACTCGAAAGCAGGACTTCAGGATCATCACTGGCGATTTAGTACAGTACAGCCTCGGTACAGATCGAGCTGCGCTACAGTGTACTAACACGGTCCTTTCAATATTTTTTTAATTTTTTCATACAGGAAGATTGAAAACATTTCCGTGTGGGTGAATGACACTGAAGCACAGTGTGGCCAACAACGCGGACGGGAAGTGTAACGTTACCTCGTTACGTTGGCGTTTAGGCGATGCGGCTCTGGGTCAGCAGGTCGCCATTCAAGCAGCCCGTTTTGACTTTCAAACCGCCGCGTACGCAGACGGCGGGGCGTATCTTCCCCCCCCCCCCCCACACACACACACACACGTCGCGAGCCGCGCGCCGAAGGGACATCTCCGGTTGGGTCGCTAACGTAAGCTCATAGACCATCATCCATGCTTGCCTCAGGAGGGTCGGGCAGCGCTTCGTGTCGCTCCGTCTCTCTCGCACCGCCGTACAGCGCTCCGTGAGTGCGAGAGAGACGGAGCACAGTGGGCCAGAAGACCGGTGGAGGCGGCCAAAAACTCTAGACGCGTTTTGAGCTCCAGAGTCGCTAAATAGGACTCGAACCGAACGTGTGACCCAAGGGGTTACCAACTCAAGATTTTCATGTACACTGATTCCATTTAGAGTTGATTACATGTAATTTCTTTTGATTATTATTATTATCAGGATTAAAGGCGCTATTATTTTTCCATCGGAATACTGGGGGCCATTGAGCGCAGACCTCGGAAATGGTAAGTGTCGGAATCAATTGGGTTTTGGGAGCTACTGCCAATTCAGTTGCGGTCACAGGCCTTCCTCGACGCCTTCTATTCGAAGACCCTACTCTTTTATGCCCCCCCTGGGAGGCTTTGCCGCGATGTTTGGCAGCAGCGGGGCTCCAGGGACAAAAGGAGAAATTCGAAAATCACCTTTTTCTGATTAGAGCGGTCACTGCATCAAAGAGTTGCGGTCAAAGGGCCCCACGACGCTTCTTGTGGACCCATCTTTAATGTCCCGCCTCCGGAAGGCTTTGACCGCTGATAGTTTCGGAGCAGTGGTCTCGCAAAAATGGACAAAAAGTGAATGAATTTCAGAAAATTACCGATTTTGCTGACTTTGAGCGGTCACTGCATCCAATTTAGTTGCGGCCAAAGGCCTCCCTCGACGCCTTACTATTGTGAAGACCCTACTCTTTAATGTCCCGCCTCGGGAAGGCTTTGACCGCTGATAGTTTCGGAGCAGTGGTCTCGCAAAAATGGTCAAAAGTGATTGAATCCCCGAAAGTATGATTGTCATTTCGTTGGACGATGTTGATTATTGAACTGATTACCAACTAGACGTGCAATGATTATCTTGAGTTGGGTACCCCTTGGTGTGACCCCACCAATGGATTGCTCTCCGAACGAGGAATCCATTGGTGGGGTCACACGCTCGGTTCGAGTCCCTTTAATCGACTCTGGAGCTCAAAACGCGCCTAGAGTTTTGGCCGCCTCCACCGGTCATCTGGCCCACTGTGCGGAGACGGTTTGGAATGGGCGTGCTGGCGCGGCGCCAGCTTGGGTGGCAGGCTAGGCCAGTGCCTCCAGCCGCCCGAGCAGGCCGAACGCCCGGCCCGTCGAGCACGCGTGCCGCGCGGGTTGCCCAACCTGCCGGGCTTTCGCCGCGCTGTCTCTCTTCTCTCGCACGCGTGCGCGCACGGGGCGTTCCGAGGGTGCGAGAGAGCGCGCCTTTCGGTCGGGTATGGCGCGGCAACAATCGTGATAAAAGGACGTTGGTGCGGAAAGTCTGATGAAACTGAATCGGGTCTTGTCATCATGCGTCCGCGACGTCCGCGACACGGGACTAGCTCGTGGGGATATCCAAACCGAACCGCCAGCCAGGTGTCAGGCGGCTCATCTTTGATAGAGTGCGGCGGTTTGCGAAAACGCGCTGATCCAAGTGACACGGCGACACGGCGACGCGACGCAGTGGGCCAGAAGACCGGTGGAGGCGGCCAAAACTCTAGACGCGTTTTGAGCTCCAGAGTCGCCAAATGGGACTAGCATCGAGCGTGTGACCCCACCAATGGATTGCTCTCCGAACGAGGAATCCATTGGTGGGTCACACGTTCGGTTCGAGTCCCATTTAGAGACTCTGGAGCTCAAAACGCGTCTAGAGTTTTGGCCGCCTCCACCGGTCTTCTGGCCCACTGTGCGACGTGGAGACGGAAAACAACCAGGCGACCGTCTCGCTCTGTTTCTCTCGCACCCCTACCGAACGCCCCATGAGTGCGACAGAGACAGCGACACTTCGGCAGGCCGCCATGAGGGCGATTCCGGGATGCGATTGTCCGAGGGGGAAATCACTCGCGTAATAGTCGGGTCACCGATTCATAGTATTACGCGTAATAGTAATAGCGTAATAGCCAATTTTTTTTTAAAAATCCCCTATTTAGAGTCTGATTTTAGCCTAAATATGGATAATTTCAAGCGTAATAAGCCTTCTGTAATAGCGTAATGGAACGTTATAGGGAGTAGTCGGGTCACAGTTTTTAAGAGTGATTTCCCCCTCGCGATTGTCCGGGCCAAATTGTCAGCCGGGCCGCGACGCACTCTCCTACAGGACAAGTTCAGTCTGCTCTACACACTTCGGCGGAAAGGAAAATGAGAAAAAAGTGAAGCCTTGACGTCGGCGTGAGCGAGGAGACCGTTAGCAGCAGACATGTGGCGACATAGTAAAGAACTACCGGCCCAAAAATAAAAGCAACAAAACGCGAATCGGACGATCGTTCCAACACGGTCTTTCTTTTGGCACCTGGAACGCGTGGCTCTTCGATACGGCGAGTCCGCCGAAACGAGAGGAAAGAGACCGTGGACGCGCGACGCGCACGCACGCTGCCTCGACTCGGCGGGTCGCCCAGGTCGCCCAGGCTACCGCGAGGCTTGTGCAACCCCGTGTGTACCGACGCCACCCCTTGTGCCTTTCGATGTCAGCCCCGCTGCCCGGCCGGCCGGCCCTGCGTAGCCCTGCGGGCTGGTTGCGAACCACTGCGCCGTCCTTCTCGCACTCGAGGGCCGCGAGGGAGACAGCGACGGAGCCAGTCCACTGGGAGGGCGCTTTTGGCAGGCGTCGTTCGCGGCGCGCCACGCCGGCCGGCCCGCAGCTGTCCTGGTGGCGGCGCGTTGACGTCCGAAGCGCCGCGCCGCCGCCACCTCCCCCCGCACACCGTCGCCGTCGAGCCCCGCGGCAGACTCATTCCGAGAGTCGTTTCCGTCGCACCTAGACAGGACGCCTCACGAGTGCGAGAGACAGAGCAGTGTGCCGCTGGCCGCGGGACGGCGGGCGGGTCGCGGACACCGCGGACCCTTCCGGACGCGACGGTTTTGGTGCGGGTGCCCGGCGGTGGCAGCGGCGGCGGTGGCCGGCCTGTCGTGTGACGCTACCCCGACGTCACCGCCGCGGGGAGCGGGGAACGGGTTGGAGGGGGGGGGGAGCCTGGTCGGGCCCACCGTCCTTGGCCAATGAGCGACGAGCACCGCTGCAGCTCTCTTCACGTCACAACTCCCCGCGCCGCGCCGCGCCGCCCCGCTCGCCGAGCCACTTTTAACCCGCACAAAGCGCGCCTCACTTCAAGTGATCCCCCTCCCCCTCCCACCTGTGGAGGCACAAAAGGACTAGGAGACCAGGACTACTGGGTTCAAATAGGCAACAATCCTTTTCTTTGCGATCCGCGGCGTCGCGGCGCGAGCACAAAGCAGAGCGGCGACGCGTCAATCCTCTTGGCTCGTTTCGGCGCTGTCTCTCTCGCACCCCTGCGAAGCGGCCCGTGAGTGCGAGAGAGACAGAGCGTCCGTCGAACGCTTGGACGTGGAAGGCGCTGCGCGCGCTGCGGGTGCCCTTGGCGGTCAGGTCCTTCGGCCCCTCGGTCGGACTTCAGGACGTTGGCAGCATGACTGATTCCGAGAGTCGTTTTCGGCGCTCCGTCTCCCTCGCACTTCTACGGGACGCTCCGCGAGTGCGAGAGAGACAGAGCGACGAAGACGAGCCTCGGAATCAGTCGGCAGGAGCCCTTGCCACTTTCTCGTGAGTCTTGGAGGGCGTGGCGGAGCGTGGCGGCACGACGCGCCAAGGACTCACGGACGCCGCCAAGCCCAGCCAAGCCGCCAAATCGCAAGCCTGGCTGGCACACTGGCTTCGGCACTCCGCCCGAAGCAGCGCCCCGAAGGCACCCGACGGCACCCGAAGGTACCCGAAGGCGGGCGTTCAAAAAACACGATTGCACCCCTCGACGACACCGGCCGCCGGGCCCTCTGGCAGAGCTGTTCGTTCGGGGTGCTGTGCGTCTTGGAGACCGGCGCGAACGGAGCTAGGACAGTCCTAAGTTGTGCTGACGTAACGTCCTGCCTCGAATAGACCACGTCAAACTGTCCGCTAGCGCGAGCGGCGTCCAGGGGCCGGGTTCGAATCCCCGCCGTCTCTTTCCATTTTTATCGCTCACTTACCTTTCATTCTGGCGAGGCACCCCTTCTGGGTGGAGGACGTCATGTTTCCCGGACTCGGCGCGGGGCTATTCCTGCAACAGCACGAGTGCAAGGGCGTCAGGCACGTGTGGCATCGATCCTGCTGCTAGGTCAGGGTTCGAGTACTGACGCAGGCGATTGATTTTTTTTATTTCTATCTCCGCCATCGGAAGGTGGTGTGGGAACTTCCACGCTTGGCGACCGTACCAGCTGCGGGCTGTTATCAGCTTCCCATAACCGGGAAAGGGGGAGGGGAGTGGGGGCTGGCGCCGACCCACCTTGCAACACAATTCAAACGTGGGGGACCTCGGCTGCACTTACTTAGTGTGTACACACGCCGCTACACCGTATACGCATCACGACAGCGAGAAAATGAATGAAAATGCGGGAGAAAGCATCACCGTTACTCACATACTGCCCCTCCACCACAAAAACTAGAGTAAACAAGTTGATTTGTCGTCCCTGGCACGCGCGAAGTATGCAAGGACGCCCAGGGTCGCTGGAGCTGGGCGACGACGCGACCACGGCCGTCGCAGAGGGTGACCTGACAACCTTTAATTGACGCTCTAGGAGCTCTAGGAGGAGGAGACGCCAGTCCTATCCCGTCCTGTCACCGTCCGCCCGTCGGCGGCGGCGGCGCGAGGGGGAGGGGGAACGATCCAGAAGATGATCGCAGGTTGGCTATTCCGCGTGGCTTTACTGTGACCGATAACCAAGACGGTCGGTCGCCTTTCCTCCAGAGAAGACCACACCACACGACGTCCGTCGCCTAGACGCGTCTGGAACGTGCCTCTTCCCGAACGCGCGCGTGCTGTGCCGCTCCGTAGCGGCCAGAGTGAATTAAAAGGCCCTCTGAGCGATATGGAACTGAGGCCCACTGACTAAACTGGAACTGTCACGCCAGTCGGACCGCCGCACTCGCAGTGTCGTGATGTTTCTTGAGTGGACGCGCACCCACGCCACTGTCCGTCGCTTTACCTGGGGGTGAGTTGCAGGACGGGCCGCAGTACCGCCTCGCGCGCGCACCGCTCGCGAACTGTCAGAGAGGAGGGCGCGGGGCGACGCGCGTCTCGGAGCTTTGGCGGGAACGGGAACGGCAACGGGAACCGGCTCGGCGAGGCGAGGCGAGGCGAGGAAGGACTGCACTCGTCGGATCGCGCCCAGCGACTGAGGAGCGGGGCGCGAGCCACACCGCACCGCACCGCGGGCCTGAGCCGGTCCGGGCCTAGCAGCTCGATCTCGAGCAGTGCGCCCCCTGCCTCTCTCGCACTCGCGGGGCGTCCCGTTGGCGCGAGAGAGACAGAGCGACGAGACGACTCCTCGGAATCGCTTGGTCGCGGGGCTGTCTGCCTTGCCCGCGGGCGGGGTGGGCGGTGTACAGTGGGCCAGAAGACCGGTGGAGGCGGCCAAAACTCTAGACGCGTTTTGAGCTCCAGAGTCGCGAAATGGGACTCGAACCGAACGTGTTACCCCGCCAATGGATTGCTCTCCGAACGAGGAACCCATTGGTGGGGTCACACGTTCGGTTCGAGTCCCATTTAGCGACTCTGGAGCTCAAAACGCGTCTTGAGTTTTGGCCGCCTCCACCGGTCTTCTGGCCCACTGTGCGGTGGGTCGTCTGCTGGGTGGGCCAAGCGCGCGAGCGAGGGGTACACCACTCTGGGTAATCGTGTGTGCACGTCGTCCAGTAATCATTGTTGGTTATCACACGGCAAAACTGGCTATTTTCACTGTGTTTATCGGATTTTGGGGGTTTGACTTGTGAAAGTAGGTCAAAACTGCTCTTAGTTGGCCAAAATTATAGTTTTTTTTGAGTATTTTTGTAGGAAATAAATGGTGATCAGTAATCCTGTGTTCACTCCTGAGCTGAAAGGTGGACCCCTCGGGTGCGAGGCCTGCGGAGTGAGGGGACCGCGTGGACCTAGAGATCTGGGCACACCACTGTTAATTAATGCGCCAAATTCATATTGGATTGTGTGCTTGCAGGAGGGGTTGTTGGGATTGTGTAAATAAGACTTCGGTTTAAAATTCGACAATTATAATATATTGTATTATGAATGAAACATACAAAACGAATCTGAGAAAAAGAATGATTCTGGCAAAAAGAAAAAGAAAACAAGAAAGAAATAGCTTTAAGCTTTTTCCCCTTACATACCTTATATAAAAGGACATTCAAATGACCATCAGTTACCCCATATCCATTCGAGCCATGTTACACATTTTGTAGTTGAGCAAAATACAGATGTTTTGAAAGTGTAGAACATGTTCAATGACCTTGTTCTAGCAGCAATGACCTGGTATGATACCAGCACTGTTTAAATATACTTAACATTAGAAATTTTATAATATAACAACATATCATTATATATGAAATCAAGAGAATTGGCAGAAGGTCTCAAAATCTAGAAACCTTCAGCATTTCATGAGATATTATGCATTTGAGGAAGTCACAATTGTGGAAGACCAATACACATTTCCACAGACCACTTTCAACAGAAATATAAAAACTAGATATCTTCACATATCTTCACATCACATAATACACAAATCAATAACAAATACTATGAGCTTTTACCCTCCTAACCCTAGGAAACAAATTGGAAAAAAAGAAGAAAAAAACAGTGCAATCACACAGGCATTCATTTGATGCATCCCCACATGAAGGACACTGTTATGAAAGATGTTTGACCAAGACTTAAGCACTTGTATACCGCAAAATAAGATCAGCAAAAGCATTGCAGATATTTCAAGTCTTGATTTACAGGTTCCTATGTGGAAAAATATATTTTACAAGGATGAGGCCCCCAAGTTCATTGAACAGGGAACTGGGACAGAACACGGCAAAATGTTAAAAAGAGCAGAAAAGTCGATAAATGCTAACATAGCATTGTGTATGAAAAACAAAATCTAAGAATAAATATTCCGCACAACCTGAAGACACAGGTTTAAAAAAAAAATACAACTGACAATACAGAAATGGGCACATGGGGAACAATTGAGGATATTGATGCAAGTCAAGGCAATCAGAAAATATAGGAATCTAAACATCAAGAGATCCACATTCAACTTGCCATAATCATAAAAACAGTTCACGAATTCATTTCTTTAAAGAATGAATCAGCATCACTTTGGGGAGGAAGTTTTTCACTTACATTCCTACAGTGCAGACATCCTGCTGGATATTTACATTAAGCAACAAAACTAGGGATACAAATGGAGAAAGCATGAATATTAACTTTCATGTCTTCATTGTCATCCCAATATATTACATTCACCCAATTTGGGAAATCACAAATATTGAAGACATGGATCTGGCAGCAGAACCCAACAAGCAAAATCAAGAGGGGGAAAAAACATAGCAAAGCCTTGGAATAAATAATTGTAAAAAGGTGATGCCTGCTTGAAAGAAAGCTTAAATGTACAAGCCTACACAACTACAAATTTTAACACCCACAACTTCCCCCTTTCCTGAACTGACTAGCAGGGATAAGGACAAGTCCAGGTCAGGTCAGATTACATTATCACATTTTGCAGCGTTGTTGGATCAGTGCTTGACAGCGGCAGAACTTGTGAACTGCCAAATTGCTGAGCCACCATGAAGATACAGAAAAATAAACTTGTAGCAGAGACAGCAATGGGCATGACTTCTACTCAAGATCAGGCATGGGTGCACTGACTACATTAAGAGTTTTTTGGCCAATCTGAACTTTAACTGGCTGGTTCCCAACCTAAAAAAAAAAATATATGTGAAAATTGATTTTAAGCAGCAAAGATATGGTAGGTAGCAAATTGTCTGCTTGTTGACGCATGACCACAATGACTCACCTGAGCCTGACCGGCAGGCAAAGTAATAATCTGTCCTGAGCTGAGCATGGCTGACTGTCCACTGACGACGGGCTTTCCTTGAATTGTAACCATTTTGGGTGGTCCACCTTGCTGACCAGGTACCGTTATAGTTATTGGCTTGCCCCCTGCTGCCGCCTGTGCTGCTTGTGCTGGAGACATGACAATCATTTTCATGCCCTGCTGGGTGGTCACTGTTTGTGCTCCTGACACAGCTCCTGTGAAATTTTAAGAGTTTTCACATAAGGCAAGATGAAAAAAGACAATGAACTACGTGTATGTTAGAAAACAAGTGAATTTGTTGGAAAGCATACCTTGAACTGCTTGGGTGTTTGTGAGGGTTTGAACCGTCCTTAGGCCTCCACCACTGGTGACCATTATGATTTGCCCTGGGTTACCTCTGCCTAAAACAGCAGGTTGACCAGCCCCTGGTTTCCGTATGACAATGGTCTGTTTGCCGGCAACACCTTCAACAAAACATTTTGACTCAACATTCTCCCTTACCAACTCATAGTCTGCTGGAGAATTCAGCGAATCTAAGTCTTACCTGTGCCAGGGTTCAGCAGTTTAACAATCGTCGCACCTTGTGGTAAAACACCTCCAGGTTGAATCGTTGCTCCTTGAGGAATTGATGTCACCACTTGTGTGTTGTCAACTTTGCCAGTTTGAATGGTTTGGATATTGCTAGTTGTTTTAGATGGGACCAAGCTTATTTTAGGCATCTGAAAAGATTAGAAAAACACATAGCATTTTGAAAACTCTTAGCATAAATTAAAAAATCCAAAGCAGTCAGTATTGAAAAAATAGGAGTCTTACAGTGGCAAGTGTCATTCCCTGACCCGTTTTAACAAGTGTAACGATCTGACCAGGCTGGCCAGGTAAGCCAGGACGTTGGATCAGCATTTGCTTTCCTGCTTGTGCTGGGGCAGCACTCCTAATTATGGTCGAGTTAGGGGTGGCCAATCTCACAGCCTGTCCAACTGTGAACAAATTTGAGAACATTTTGTAAATATGTTTCAAGGACTACAAACCAAGAAAATGAGCGATTGAAACCAACCAATGGTGCCAGAGGCAGTAGAAACTCTGTAGGTGGGTGATCCTTGGGTCTGAACAATGCGGATGGGGCTACCAGTGGGAGTAGTCAGGCCAGATGAGGCAGCCACAACTGTAGAGGGCTTGGCAGCGGCAGTGGTTTGTATCACCTGTCCTGCCGAGGTCTGTAATAGAACTGCTTGTGACGTTGCCTGCGCTTGTTGCACAGAGGTAGCAGTCAATGTGCCAGTGGCACTGACGACGGTGGTCATTGCCCCTGAAGATGCGGAAATCCTTGGTGTTGCTGCTGCAGCTGCTGCCAACGCCTGGATGCCAACCATCTGAGCTGAAGTCACCTGTGACATAAAACAGCAGAATTAGAGGGTGGGCTGTGATGAAAACATTGACAAGCAAACGCGGAACACAGGAAGCCACTCCAACTGACCGGCGCCCCAGTTGCAGTTGACGTCGCGCTAGTTCTCGCCGAGAGCAGACTCTGCCCAGGAGAGATAACACTAACATTTTGAGCGGTGGAGCCTGCAGCTGTTGCAGTCACCGTTCCAGGAGGACCCTGCATCCGGACGAGGCGCAGCCTCTGCGGCCTGGCTCCAGGAGACCCTGGAATGCGCACCAGCGTCCCTGGAGATCCTGCCGCTATGGTTGCAGGAGACGCTCCACGGGGCCGGACGATGGTGGTGGTGGCGCCCCTGGGGGTGGCTACCATGGGGCGACCCGCTGGAGGCGCGGCCACTGCAAAATACCAAGACACACCAAGTCAGTGCCAACGCCACACCACGAAGAAGTCCATCTCCACTGGAAAACAAAGTACGCTACCTCTTAACACTGTTGGAGAAGCTGCGGTAGCATTTGTAGGTTTCGGTGACACCAAAACAGGGACAGGCACTGAGCGAGCGGGACTTGCCGCAGGAGCAGCGGAAACTTGGGGCTGCCTGATGACAGGCACAAGGGCTGGGGGACCGCTGATGACGGTGGGGGTGGGGGCAGCAGCCTTGGCAACGACAGGGGTGGGTGCAGAGGCAGTTGTCGTCGTTGTGTTGGTTAGGGCTGCTTTAGCTTGAGTCGTCGTGGCAGTGGAAGTTGACAGTGCAGGTAACTAAACATAGGGTACAGCAATTTATTAGTTCATAATTCATTTAGAGTTTAATTGATCATATGCAAAAAAAAAGGGGGATAATAACAAAATAAACAACTTACTGTAGATGTTGCAGGAGGATAATCATATTTCATAATTTGTAAAATGTAAGCATCAGCAGTAGGACTGGCGGTCCAATGTACTTCAAGTGAGTCAGTTAGGGCCTTCTGCAGTTGAACCCTGCCTGGTTGGGCCGGCTTCTCTACTTCTAAGTACCATAAGTCTTTGCAGCACACCTGTACATATATTATGGTCACAATCAAAAATAGAAAAAAGAAAGGAAAATCCTTCCAGACCAGCTCAAGCAAATCTTACCTGGTTATTCCAAGCCTTGCGGTATCCGTCTCGGCCAGACCACACATACATGCGAGTGTGAATGCCAACAGCAGAGTGGCCTGCTCTTGCCTTTGGAATGTTGTCTTCATATGTATCCATTTGAAAGCTTTCCCATGTCATAGTTTCTGCATGAAAAATAATGAAAATCCATAAGACAGTGCACAAGAAAGTCTTAAAATATAACAGTAAACAAAATCTTAACCTTACCTAAATTTAAACAGGCTAAGCTGTTAGTGCATTTCCATTCCTTCTCATGAGTAGCAACTTCAACATCATCCAAAACCAAAGGTACCCATCCTCCAAATATAAACATTCTATGGCCAATTAATGTGGCTGAGTGCAATGACCTTGGCAATGGAGCAAAACCTCCAACACTTGGTTTATACCATTCCATAGAACCTGAGAAAGAGAAGGAAAAAAATTAACTATTTGCCTTACAAAAGCTCTAAATAACAACTATGAAAGGACTCACTGCTTTATGAATTTATAAACTTTAATATACTTACTTATATCAAGAATCCACAAGTCTCCTAATCGACATCCACTCATACCACCATAAATTACAAGGCTTGAGCGCCCTTGTTTGTCTGTGTATGCCACAGCTGTGTGCGATTCTCTAGGAGGTGGTGGGTCACCATAGGTCACTGGGACCTCCCAGGAACACTGATGATTGCCTTTCAGGTCAAGCACATACAAGTCGTTGAGGTACCTAAAACAAACAATAACAGTGTGCATGTAGCTTGTTGGTAAAAGAGAAATGTATTGATCATTATAACATATTAATTAATCATTCGTTACCTTGATATGTTGTTTGTTGGATCATCACTATCATTGGCCAACCCTCCAAATAAGAAAACTCTATTGCCAATGAGAGTAAAACTATGTCCAAGTCGGGGACAGGGCGCTGGGAACTTTTTCGGTGGTCGTGGTTTCAACTGTTTCCATTCCCAACGAGTTGCCTGAATAAAACAAAAGTTGAAATTATTTGAGAGTTAATATTGTTTGTTCCTTCAGGACATGACTGAGATAACACATGATGTAAAAATATATTTGAGGGGAGAAAAAGAGAGTGATCAACAAACCTGAAGTTCATATAGGTCGGAGGAATATTTGCCGAACTCTGTCATACCACCAAAAACTAATATCCTAGTTCCATCGGCCACAAATCCATATGCAGCACATCCCTGAGGGATGTCCCCCTTGCACTGTGGTACAAACCATTTGTTTGTGGCTGTAAAAAATAAAGAGAGACAACTTCTTAGATCTGAGTCACAATAAAAACGAATCGGATCAAACTTCGCGCTCACTGCACCAATCCGGCTGCCAACATGAGCCCAACACTCTTTGACTGATACCACTATATTTTGGTGGACCGAAGTTAGAAGAAATAAATAAAAGCATTATAAATCACAGGGCTGAAGAGGGAAAAACTAAGTAAGACACAACTAGGCCGGCGAGACACTGTAAAACTTTCGACACTGTGCCCCGACAGACGCTATCCTAGGTTGCCGACCCTGCAGGCAGTGGGAAGCGTCCCCCAAAAGTACAACCAAACACAAACAAACGTCACTAACCAACATTCGCCTGCAAAGCGGCGCGGTTCGCGACACAATCAAAGCGAAAAATAATCCGCCCATAGGGCAGGGGTAGTTCTCGACGGGGAGCCGAAAACGGGAAACCGAAAACAGTGATTGGATAGGGTTAACACCCGACAAAACCAAGGCTGCCTTTGCGAAGGAGGCCGCCATATTGGAATACCGGAGTGAACCGCCAAACCAAAACACATCAATATCTCGAACGAATGATAAAATTTTGAATTTTTACGACCAGAAACCGCAGGAAACAGGGGGAACTCACAGTTAAAATATTGCGAAGCCCAAACTTAGGCGTAAGGACGGAAATCAAGGCGGTCTACAGTGCCTACAAGACCGCCATTTTGGCATAGCATAAAGGCCGACAGTCGCTGGTATTTACCTGTGTTAAAAACGTGAAGTTCGTCAATAATCCCTTCATTTCCGCCGCCAAACACGATCATGAGGTCCTTGATGGCCACCGCTCGGTGCCCATGCCGGGGCCGCGGCTGGGGCCCCGAAGGGTTAAGGACTTTATTCCACTTAAACAACGGCTCAGCCATCGTCTGCAAACTGCAAACAAACGAATGTGAAGCAAACCAGCTGAGGTTGTGTCTCGCGAATCCTCCGTGTAGGTGGCGCTACGAGCGCTCGATGGCAAGAGCGCAGCCTGCAGCGAGGCTACAGCCGAAGAGTATGGGAAATCGACCGAGAAGAATTCTTGTCGCATGAGAAATCCATTCGAGGGAAGTTCAAAAAGTGCATGGATGTGTAAAATTTATCAAGGAAATGATACCCCTTGCCGGAAGGTAAAATGTTGTGGAAGGTTCGTAAATTCTAATGCACTAGAAAAACTTTCAATTTGAACCGTCTTTCCTTAGTTGGTTCTTTGATGGGTGTTTCTATTGAGTCCAATCTAGAACTCTATTGGATGATGTGGTGACCGATATGGTTGTGCGTGTAGTAGAGGACAGGATTAATCAGAAAACAAAAATCAAATTTCATAGAAACAATGACAGCAACTTTATTATTAACAATATCAAACTCCATTTCTTATTCTACACATTTTTTACTAAACAAGATAAGGGCAGGGGTTGGGGCTTTTCAGCAAGATCCCATAAAAACTTTGAAGTATTTCTATAAATAGGACAAGAAAGGAAGGGGAAAACAATCAAAGCAAAAGCAAGTTACAACTCAGTACTGGTCGGATATGTGATACTACATATGGAATGGGGAACATAAATATTTATTTTATTGGTAAACATACTGGAAAAAAGGAATGTTTGAGGATCGGGATACAGAAGAAGACTAGAAAAGCAACCTAGAAAGTAATCAATAAGAAGGAAAGAGGGAGAATTATACTTCAAAGAAAATAGGATCAACAGGTGCTGCTTCAACAAAGAAAGTCTTTAATATATGTCCTTCTGCCATAAACACTTGCTCATGATTGACTAATGTGCTGACTATCAGCACAGGACTAAAGAAAAAAAAAGGCATTCCTAAGGACTGTGAACATCTTAAGAAACAATGTTTCTGAGACTGGCATTAACATTAAATATAAAAATACTCTTTGACAAACAGCTGGAATGCCACAAAGAAATGCCATTGACATTTGTTTGATGCAGCTACAGCCCTGACACCAATCTAAACACACATCTCTCATACAAACTCAAAATGCGTGGGAAGAACATCATGAAATAGAGAAATTCTAAAGAGTATTGGTAAAAAAAATTCTTACAAAATGTTTCAGTACACAACGTCAAAATAAATTTTAATTCAAGCAAGATATGACACACAATTATCTTCTGTGCTCGACCTCTGCATAATTTATTTTTTTCTTTTGAGGTGTTCAAAGAAAAAATAAAATATAATTACTTATTACCTATGAAACACACATCACAATCAAAATTAAAATAGAAATCACAGCTCAGACTTTTAAATTATACATAGATACACATTTGTATTTACAGTTATTTGTATTTAAAAGCAGGAGGTATTTGATGTTGAAGGGTAATGTACAACCACAAGAACGAAAGAGAATACAAAGACCACAGGTGGAATTTAAAAGCAAGCAAATGAGATAAATTTGTGCTTTCCTGCAATACTTGTCTCTAATATTTAAACAGCCTCCTTAAAGATATGTAAAAGAACAGTTTCAGAAAAAAATAATAATTAAACCAACTGGGTTAAAGGAGAAAAGAAAAAGAAATCTTTGGTTTGATCAAAGCAGAGATCAGCAATTGATCCCACAAGAAATTGACATAAAACCTGGAGAGCAAAGTCATCGCTCACATAGTAATTAAAATTTCAAATAAAATATCCTATTATTTACACAAACAAAGAACTACACTCGGCATCAATGCTGAGGTACGCTCAATATTGACCATAATTATGGTACACGGAATTCTGACAAAGTGACATTGGACACACTCACTTTAGTTAAAGCTGTGTGGTCAAAGTTCCATCAAACTAACTGGTGCAGTGCAGGTTGCATTTTCAGACCGAAATATTCTATGACATATGTACATATTTACATATCCTATGTATACAAAGCAGTAGTTGAGTCTGTCATCTCTGCAACATTATATATATTTTTTTAATATGAAAATGTTTGCGTAACTATGTACAATTGTGGTACAATTAGGAATAGTTTATGTGAGCGACGGAATCCTATCACGATAGTTGAGTTCAGAATGTCTTCTCTTTGGCTTTGCTTGAGCTAGGAAAGACTCGAACCAACGGGGTGACAACCCCAAACAGAAGACCTTTACGCGAGGGTAAAGGCCCGCGAGTCCCCAGGTAGCTCAGGTAGCTCGGTGCGGTCCGGACCATGGAATCAAACGTCACCCAACGGTGACGCTTAAGCCCATGCTCGCGGCTGCAGGCCGCACTCTCTCGGCACAGGAGTCCGACATCCGTTCCCTGGTTCCCTCCTCACACAAAACCAAGTCAACTTTTCGCTTGCCGCGCGGGGGCGGGCGGCGGGCGCGTGCGCGTTGCACGCCATTGGCACATTGAGTCAACAACAAAAATACACAAGACAGTCATACATAGTAGTGGTTAAAGTCTTTGCTGAGAGGGGCGTCCCCGGCGCGGGCCGTCGGCTATACGTGCGTGGCGAGGGTGCCCCGCTTGATGGTGGCCATCTGCGAGCTGGGCACGATGTACTGCGACGTGGGCGAGTGGGGCAGCCTCGCCACCTGGGGGGCCGCGCCGTTGCCGTTGAGGCCGTTGAGGCCCCGCACCGCGCTGCTGTAGGGCGGCGGCGGCGGCGGCCCGGTGGGCCCTGGCGGCGCCATGGTGGCCACCGAGGGCAGCCCCATGGCCGGGATGCCCCCGATGGGGCCCGTGCTGGCCGTGCTGGGGCTGGCGCTCGGCGCGGGGCTCGTGTGCGGCGGCAGCAGCGACGCGCTCGAGCTCCGCAAGTACGGGTTGCCGTACGCCGCCGAGTACCGCGGGTCCACGCACGCCAGCGGGCTGGAAAGCGACATGGACAGCGACGACGGCTGCGGCAGCCCCAGGTGCGCGTCGGGCTGCAGCAGGCTCAGCGACGGCGGCGGCGTGTAGTCCCGCGAGTAGTCCACGTAGGGCACGTAGCCGTTGTTGTTCTGGCCGTCCTGCGCGGGGCAGCACACCGTCAGACACAGTCCGCACTTCCAAAGACAAGCCACCGCACAGTGGGCCAGAAACCGGCGGAGGCGGCCAAAATTCTAGACGCGTTTTGAGCTCCAGAGTCGCTCGAACCGAACGTGTGACCCCACCAATGGATTCCTCGTTGGGAGAGCAATCCATTGGTGGGGAGAGCAATCCAATGGTGGGGTCACACGTTCGGTTCGAGTTCCATTTAGCGAGTCTGGAGGTCAAAACGCGTCTAGAGTTTTGGCCGCCTGCGCCGGTCTTCTAGCCCACTGTGCCACCTCCTCTACGGCGCTTACCTTTGCCTTGGGCGGGAAGCTGGGCTCGGGGTACTCGGTGGAGTAGCGGTAGACGTGGTCGCCGCCGTTCATGGCGATGGGCAGGTGCACGGGGCCGGCCAGCGGCACGCCGCCCACGCCGCGCTCGCTGCCCGTCTCGCTGCCCGGCCTGCTCACCGACGAGCCGCGCAGCTCCAGCTTCATGTCCGAGATGTTGGAGGAGCGGTCCGACTCGCGGCACTGCTTCTCCGCCTCGTGGTTGTCCACTGCGGCAAACACAGGCACGTTAGCTTTGAGAACCTCGCGGAAGGAAAACTCGCTCGCGACACACAGTGGGCCAGAAGACCGGTGTAGGCGGCCAAAACTCTAGACGCGTTTTGAGCTCCAGAGTGGCTAAACAGGACTCGAACCGAACGTGTGACCCCACCAATGGATTGCTCTCCGAACGAGGAATCCATTGGTGGGGCCACACGTTCGATTCGAGTCCCATTTAGCGACTCTGGAGCTCAAAACGCGTCTAGAGTTTTGGCCGCCTCCACCGGTCTTCTGGCCCACTGTGCGACATCTGCGGAAGGATCGACTCACCTGGAGGCTTCTTGACTCTACGCTGGCACAGGATGACCACCATGGTGATGGCGATGATGACCACGACGCCGCCGATGACCCCCGTCAGTATGATGAGCAGCGGGTACGATTCTGGAAAGCGAAAACCAGGCAAATGATTACCACAGCCAAGACCACTTGAGATGGCGAATCGGTCTTGGACGGCGGCTTACTCTGCGCGCGCAGGTGGATGTGCGCGGTGACGGCGCCGTACGAGTTGGACGCGGTGCAGTTGTACAGGCCGTAGTGGTGCTGCTGGGACTCGCGGACGATGAGCGTGCTCTTGAGGCCGTCCGGCAGGGGGTCGTCCAGGATCTGCGGAGGCAACCAGAGCGTCAGCAAAAGGATACGCGTGGCGGTACAGTAGTGCGAAGCGGTATCCACTCACAGTGGGCCAGAAGACCGGTGGAGGCGGCCAAAACTCTAGACGCGTTTTGAGCTCCAGAGTCGCTAAATGGGGCTCGAACCGAACGTGTGACCCCACCAATGGATGGCTCTCCGAACGAGGAATCCATTGATGGGGGCACACGTTCGGTTCGAGTCCCGTTTAGCGACTCTGGGGCTCAAAACGCGTCTAGAGTTTTGGCCGCCTCCATCGGTCTTCTGGCCCACTGTGCCACCCCGCTACTCACCGAGTAGTCCGAGTCGTAGGACGAGATCTCCTGGCCGTTGTAGCTCCAGGAGATCTTGTCGGGGCGCGGCACACTGGACACGATGCACTCGACGCGCGCGTTGTCGCCGGCGTGGCCCCACTGCGTGTGCGGGGACAGCACGCGCGGCGGGCCCTTGACCAGCACGGCGGCCTCGGCGCCGATCTCCGGGTAGCCGGGCACGCTGGCGCGGCAGAAGTAGCGGCCGGCGCGGTCCGCCTCCACCTTGAACGTCAGGTTGGGCGAGCTGCCGACGACCTGCGGGGAGGAGAGCAGCACACCGTCAGACTCACGCGTCACTCCACGCAGCAGGCTCTCATTGCGAACCGCCAGCTTACCCGGTCGCGCTCCTCGTGGATCCAGGTGATGTCCGGCGTGGGGTTGCCGTCCACGTCGCACACCAGGGTCACCGTGGCGTCCAGGTCCGTCTGCATGGACAGCGGCCGCTGCCGGAACTTGGGCCCGTCTGAAAAGGGCAAGGACCAATCGATTAGCCCCGGACAGAGGGAGACGCAGTGGCGGCGAGCGGGGGCAACACTTACACGTCACGTCCAGGGTCTCGGAGCCCTCGCTCTTGCCGACCTTGTTCTCCACCTGGCACTTGACGATGGCGTCGTGGTGGCGGCGCGACACGTTGCGCAGCACCAGCTCGGTGGGCGGGCCGCCGTCCACGTCGGAGGACACGGGCTCGCCGTCCAGGAACCAGCGGTAGCGCACCTCGGGCGGGTTGGCGTCGGCGTGGCACACCAGCTTCACGTCGGAGCCCTCGGGGATATGGCGCGGCGAGCCGCCGGCCGAGGGGTGGCCGGCCGCGTCCGCCACGGACACGGTCACGTTGGGGGCGTACTTGACGTGCAGCAGGAGGCGCGCCGAGCGGTAGGTGCGGTCCGCCTGGTTCTGCGCCTGGCAGACGAACGTCGTGTTGTGGTGCACCTTCTTGGGCGTCACCTTGAGCACGGAGCGCGCAGTGTAGCGCCGGCCCTCCGGCTCCTCGGTCGAGAAGTACTCCCCGCGCAGCACGTTGCCGTACCCGTCGATCCACGTGATCTGCAAAGGCGAGAACGTGAGCTTTCGAAACCGCCAAACTCGCACCACCGCACAGTGGGCCAGACGACCGGTGGAGGCGGCCAAAACTCGAGACGCGTTTTGAGCTCCAGAGTCGCTGAATGGGACTCGAACCAAACGTGTGACCCCATCAATGAATTGCTCTCCGGACGAGGAATCCATTGGTGGGGTCACACGTTCGGTTCGAGTCCCATTTAGCGACTCTGGAGCTCAAAACGCGTCTAGAGTTTTAGCCGCCTCCACTGGCCTTCTGGCCCACTGTGCACCGGCCGGGATTCGAACCCGCGAACTCACCTCTGCGGCCGGCTTCCCCGCCGCGGAGACGCACTCCAGCTCGATCTCGCGGTCCTCGGTCGTCTCCAGGTGGTCGCCCTGCACGATGCGCGGCGGCTCGGGCGGCACCAGGATCGTGAGCTGGGCGAAGCGCGAGCGCACGCCGGGCTCCCCGTTGGGCCCGGGGCTCACCTGGCACTGGTAGCGCGCGTCGTCGTCCAGGTGCACGGGGAAGATCTCCAACGAGAAGTCACCTGCGGAGCGGGGCAGTCGCCGGTTTTTAAAGGCATTCCAAGACATCAGAACCGCACGCGCGTCTTGGTCTTCACTGCAAACCCATCGGTAAGTTCCTTGCCACCAGGCGCGGATACAAGGGGGGAGGGGGGCAAGGGTTTTTTGCCCCCCCCCCCCATAGCCTCTAGATAGCCGCTTGAAAGGTAGGCAAAAAGTGCAACTTTGCCCCTGTAAGCAGGCAAAAAGTGCGACATGCCCCCCCCCTTTTGGACCGACTCTGGATCCGCCACTGGTTGCCACTCGAGTGGCGCTCCACTGGCGGCTTACCGATGGCTTTGCATATGTGAACAAAGACGCGGAAAAGCGGAAGCGGGTTTGTCACTGACCTTCCTCGTCGCTGCCGACCATGGTGTAGCGGTCGAAGCCGCTGAGGTTGCGGTGCGGGCCCAGGCCGAAGTCGTCCTTGGTCCACTGCAGGGTGCCCTTCTTGTTCTCCACGCGGCACGGCAGCGTCACCTTGGTGCCCTCGATGGCCACCTGGTCCTGCGGCTCCATCGCGAAGTACTGCTCCGTCTTCTCGCCCGACTCGGCGATGTGACCGTCCGGCCCCGGGTTGGGGTCCGGCTCCGGCTCGGGGGCGGCCCTGGGGGCGGGCTCCGGGGCGGCGGCGGCGGCGGCCAGCATCACACCGCCTCCCGCACCGCCTCCGGGGGCGGTGGCCACCCCGGCCAGCAGCACCAGCAACACGACCGCCAGCATCCTGGGGGCAGAGAGACGACGCCGTCAGACAAGAACAACGAGTGCAGATACGCAGTGGGCTGGTTCTGTCTCTCTCGCACCACCAAGAACGCCCGAGTGCGAGAGAGACGGCGGTCAGCCCGATCACCTCAGGCAGTCCCGCCGAGCGCGCGCGTCGTGCGGCCACGACGGCTGCCTGACGCGCAGGCGTCCGGGAGTCCGGAGGCCAAGAACCGAGAACGCCGCCACTCCGTGACGCCGGCCTTCGCCTCGCCGCGGAAGTTCGTTTCGCCCGTCGCGACACGCGACCGACCGCCATCCTGGCGCGGGAAAAGAAGCGGTCTCTGTGTGTTAATCTCGGCCGACACGCGCGTGACGGGGACCGTGACGAGCAACGTGACGGGAAACGTGACGGGGAGCGTGACGCGCCGCGTCGCCGCCGCGCCACCGCGATAAGGACGGGCATTTGCAGGGGGCGCACAATAAAACCGCAGAGCCCCCCGCAGAGGCCTGAGGTTACGGGCTACGTGACGAGACACTCACACACACACAGGCCTACATACACGCACGCGTACATGAACACATACACCTTTTCCTCGAAGGCGGAAGCGTTTCGTGAGCAGCGTTTCACGTGACGCCGCCACGCCCGCACACATACAGCCATTCCGATAGCTGAGTGTGTGTGTGTGTGTGTGTGATGGCATCACGTCCAACAGCGTGATGGTGACGATGGGGACACACGTGACGGGGTCGCGACGTGACGTCAAAACGCGCCGCGCCGCCGGCCGTATCGGCGCTCCATAATGCAGTGCATCGTGATGGAGGCCGTGGTGGTGCAGGCCGTGGCGGAGGAAATACACTGGGAAACGTCGTCCAAAGTGCATGGTGCATCGAGTATGCTGCGGAGGCCCGTTGCGGTTCGATTAGCGCCGTGGGAACGCAGGGGACTGGAGAACGCACGGCCGAAAGTTGCAGGCCTTACAGTGCAGGAGGTAGGGAGGCAGACACGCTGTAGAATTTGCTACAGTAGCTCTGCGATTCCGGTCCCGGGTCGACCGACCGGTATCAGGTACCCTGGTGCCAGTACTGCCAGTACGGGCGCCTTCCAAAACACCCGTTTGTCAGACCAGCCCTCTCCTCCCGCGCCCAGGCAATATCACTGCCCCCCCTTTCCCTCTGGGGGTCCTCCCAGCACGCGCACGCACACACACACACACCTTGGAATTCACTTCCACTCACCTGTCCCCGCCCTCCACCCCCCACCCCGGGCCGGGGCGGTAACTTTCACACCCCGGTAGTACAATGTTACGACGCGAGCCCCTGTCGGGCCGTGCCGTGCCGTGCCGGTCCGGGCGGCGTGGCGCGAGCATCGCTTCCGAAATCTGCCGGCCCGCGCCCCGAAGGGGTCAGGGCAGGCCGGGGCCGGGCCGGGGCCGCGACATGCACCCCGTCGTCGTCGTCCCCGAGCGGCGCGCCCCGGACGCAGCCGCAGCCCCACGGCAGCGCCACGGCGGCCCGGAGGCCCGAAAAGGGACGCGGCGACGCGGCGACCTGACTCTCGGCCCGACCCGACCCCCGTATAATCAATTGATGACCGGGGCGAGAGGGGAGGGGGAGGGGAGGGGAGGGGAGGGGAGGGGATAGACAAGTAATAGGTGTCTGGATCAACCCGAGAGGCGGAGGAAGGCGATCGGAGGGGACGACAAGCAGCGCGACACGCCGGAGAGGAGGAGGGAGAGGGGAGGGGGGAGTAATGGCGGTGCTAAGACCCCGGCCAAGTGAAATACGCGGCGCGGCTCATCAGACAGCGCGGGGCGTGGCGGGGCGGGGCGGCGCGTACCAAGCGCCACCTGTGCGTCGAGCAGCATTAAATCCCGCCAAACCCCGCCGGGGCCACGCCGCGCCACGCACAGTGGGCAAGAAGACCGAGGAGGCGGCCAAAACTCTAGACGCGTTTTGAGCTCCAGAGTCGCTAAACAGGCCTCGAACCGAACGTGTGACCCCACCAATGGATTCCTCGTTCGGAGAGCAATCCATTGGTGGGGTCACACGTTCAGTTCGAGGCCTGTTTAGTGACTCTGGAGCTCAAAACGCGTCTAGTGTTTTGGCCGCCTAAGCCGGTCTTCTGGCCCACTGTGCCACGCCACGCCCCCCCGATTCACTGGGCGACGACACGCGCGCACACACGCGCACACACTGGAATCCTATGCGCGTTTCCTCCGCGTTGCCACATCCTGCTGGTTTGGCTGCTAGAGAGCCGCCTACTCCCCGCATATACTCCGTCTAATCCACCCGCCCTCCCTCTCCCTCTCCCTTTCCCCCGAGGGCCGCCACGCCGCCAAGATCAGCAGGGGGGGACTACGCACACGCCGCGGTGTTGAGCAAACTCGAGAGATAATTATTAGAAGTGGCTGGCTTGCGATGAGAAAGTGCGCACACAAACATGCGCACACGCACACACACACACACACGCACACACACACGCACGCTCGCAGCAGGGAGCGCTGCGTCGCGCGCGTAAGCGGAAAATAAATAAAATGCGGCCAACGCAGATTCGGAAGGAAGAAAAATTACGACGAGTTCATGATTACTGTTTTTCAACGCGTGAAAAAAATGATAAATCAAAACGATAATTAACTTTTACGGTGTAGAGATAGCAGCAAACACTTTTGGAATGAATTCGCGCAACCCGCGGCCAGGCCAGAAGCAAAACACACAGAGCGCAAACGACAACTGGCGACACGAGAAACAATTAAAATGCTAATTGGTTGGAGGTGACGGATATCGGACGCGCACACAGCTGCAGCCGCCGCCGGGCCGCGCCGACTACAAGGAGGGGCGTGGGCTGGCTGGCTGCCGGCCGCCCTGACCGCATGCGGGGCTGCGGGGCGGACCCAGCCCAGCCCAGGCGGACCACAGTGGGCCAGAAGACCGGTGGAGGCGGCCAAAACCCTAGATGCGTTTTGAGCTCCAGAGTCGCTAAATGGGACTCGAACCGAACGTGTGACCCCACCAATGGCTTTCTCTCCGAACGAGGAATCCATTGGTGGGGTCACACGTTCGGTTCGAGTCCCATTTAGCGACTCTGGAGCTCAAAATACGTCTAGGGTTTTGGCCGCCTCCACCGGTCTTCTGGCCCACTGTGCGGACCGCGGCTCGCTCCCCTCACAAGCAGTAATACGGAATATCTTATTGGGTGGCCTTACTTTATTACGGAATAACTTAGCCTACCACAAACTTATTGCTACGGCCAGGGGGACCGGGAGGGGGGGGGGCACAGCCTGTACCTCCCACCCTGCGGTGCCCTGCGGTCGCGGCCCTTTATCCGCCAGTGGTTGCGGACGGACAGGACCAGTAGGGCAGCAGGAGCAGGGGCGGGGAGGGGGGGATAAAAGTTTGACTCTGTGAGTGTGTGTGTGTGTGTGCAGGAGAGGGGCAGGGGTCGCACTGCGGGGGGACGGGGGGATCGATCACATGTTACCAGCGAATCCAAATTTGCAATCCGGTCTCCTTGACTACTCGAGCGAGCGGACGACGGGGCCCGGACGGGGCCCGGACGGCCTAGCGGCCCCGGCGGGGCGCAGGGCGCGCAGGGAAGTCTGGCGATGGCATCTTTGAGGCGGCCAGGGCGGGCCGCGCCGGGCCGCGCCGGGCCTGGCCGATGCGGTCGGGGCCTTCCCCCGCGGCCCTGTCCCGGCCCTGTCCCGGCCCTGTCCCGGGCCGCTCCGACAGAGTTTCCGACTCCTTTGCCGACTTTGACCGCGCCGCGCATCCCGCGCTGCCATGCCCCCCCCCCCCCCGCGCCTCAAGTGGGTGCCGCACTTGATTCCGTGTCCGCCCCGTCCTGCCCCGTCCGCCCCCGAACGACGACGGCGGCCTCTCCTCCGCGACGACGTGGCCCCTTAAAAGTTGGCAACCGTGTCTGGAAAGAGCAGCCTGCTGTATAGGGTGGCCACCCGGCTCGGGGACGCCGGCGGAGGCCAAAAGGACCTCGCCGACGACGGCGCCCAGGATCCGGCCCGGCCGCCGTTAGTCACTTCGGCCCCTTCTGCGGGGCCCCGGTCGCGGTCAGCCTCCCGTCTCTCTCGCACTCCGGAGGGACGCGGCCAGGGTGCGAGAGAGGCAGACAGATAGCGATACTGTGCGGAGCCGGCCTGCAGCGGTGCGCATAGTAAACCAGTACTAATTGCAGTAGTTTCTGAGGGCCGGCCGAGGCCAGGGTGGACCGCACCGCTCACACACACACACGCACACACACAGCCACGGAACACATGTTGATCTGATTCAAGGGAAGAGTTGCGATGCGGCTGCGGGGACGGGGCGGGACGGGGACGGCCGGGACCGGACCGCCACTATAACTCGTGCTGCGTGCAAGTTTGGTGTGGATGGATGGTGGCGAGGACGGCGAGGACGGCCTGGACGGGGTGGTGGTGCGGGACTCGGCGCGCTCTCCGCCCTCTCCATCAACAAGGCCCCACGCCACAGGGACATTAAGCGGAGCCGTGAACACAGCTCATAGATCAAACCAACACATCCGGGACTCCCGCGCCACGCGGCCCCACGCAGTGCAGCCAACAACCCCGTTTACGCAAAACTCTCGGCGCAGGGTAGCCAACTCGTAACACTCGTAACGGCAACAAGCATCAAAACAGGCAGTCGGTGGTACTGCTGCGGCAGGGCGGCCACATTCCCGGGCCGTGCGCACGGCTTTTTGTTTGGGGCTTTTTAACACGCCGAGCGGTGCGCGGTTGGCTGCGGTGGCGGGGCGTGGCGGGGACATCCGGCAACCAGTGGTGCCAACCAGACAAGGCGCGAGGCAAGGCACCCGTCCGGGCCACACGATCGACTGCAGTTTGGCCAACTACAGTTGGCAGGAATGTGTAACGTGCACCTGGTGC